TATTATAATATAGTGATATTTTATTTATACAGTGCCTTTCTAAACAAAGTTACAATGTTTTCGACACATGGAAACAAAATAAAATATGATGTAATGAAAATGATAACGATAAAATCAAATATGAAATCTAACTAGTGAATCTAATACGGACATGTCTTTGCTTATATGATCAAATAACTGGTCAAAAAGTACAATAAAACCAATACAATTTTAAAATGTTACTTGTTACTCCACTTCTGTCTCGGGAGCTCAGATTGACGGCATTTAAACTGTAACAGCTCAATTTGACGGGTAGCTCAGATTGATATGACACATAACACATAACACATTACCCCATTTTTATAATAAGGTGGCATGTGTGAATAAAAAAAGCATGTGTGAATGAAACAAAACACAATACCCGATATGTTTTTGATGAGAAAACAACATTATAACTTGAATTAAACCTCACAATCGTCAATTTTTTATAATACAGGACCTTGAAATTTCATTATCACCACTTCCCTATGCACGGTAGGTTCACTGTTTCACTTCACCTTGTTGGAAAGCAGCTGGTAGCAAAGTCACTCCGGTTTGATTTGTCACTTATCTCACCAAACACACAGCAGACACATTGAGTTAGCTGGCCTCAGGTGAGCACAGCAGCCTGGAGCCCTCTGCACTACATTACATAACAGTCCGCTCTGGTCTGCTATCTCTGCACGCTCCAGCAGCCTACCTCCAACTGGTCCGAAATAAACTGGTTCTGTCCAAGCCAAGATTTGTTTTTTTATTATAGTGCTTTTTAAAATAACAAAATAGTACAATTCTTTTTGATGTAACACTTTGATTTAGAGGTTCTGCATTGCGCAAAATTGATTCTTGTGAGTTTCAAGTCACAATAAATCATCCATAACAGACCTGGAGTTGTGTTTTGTTTCATTTACACATCTGAGTAACTCTTTATTATGAATCTGTCTATATCTCTAAAGCTCAAAATGCTCCGTTCCACCTTGTGATGTCATGTAGTGGTAGTTTTCAAGTTGACACGTACATTTTACCTTTAGTTCAGTAGAGATTGGCAATTCCAGAGCTGAAATCATCCAAATTATTCTAGTGACGATGTATGATGGAACAGTTTGAGAGAAGAACTCAATACATATTCAGGTTTTGAGTGCTAAACTTGTACGAATGAAACAAAACACAATCCCAGGTCTGTTTGTGATGAGGAAACAACATTATAACAGATTAGAAAATAGTGTAATATCTGCCTTTTAATTCAAATACTAATAAGTAGTTGTAGTCTTGTAGTTGCTGGGCAGATGGCGGTACATATCTGGTGGTACATATGTCTAAAAAGCCTGATTGCATGCTTCTGTTGTGCCCTTGGCCAAAACACTTCTCCCATCTCGCTTGTATGAGCAGCAGGCTAGTAGTAGTAGTTGTAGTAGTAGCAGTAGCAGCAGAGGGACCAAGACGTTGTTTTGCAAGACTCAAGTAAATCTCAAGTCTTTGACCTCAAGTCCGAGTCACGTCCGAAGTCAAATACAGGCAGGTCCAAGTCGAGTCTCGAGTCACTGGCCCATGAGTCCAAGTCAAGTCCAAGTCATCTGCTTTGAGCTTCAAGTCATTTCAAGTAAGGATTTTGCAATTTATATATATTTTAAACATAACTGTACTTAAAAAGTCATGGTATGTTTATATATGAGTATTTAAGAGCTGTAGAAATGCAATTTTTTCCTTTTTAAATGTCTTAACAAGATCTTAGTGTGAATTATTATGATCAGAAAAGAAAGTTAAAAAGTTATTTTCTCATGTAGTCTGCACTGAAATGGAAGGATAATGTTCTTTGCAGTTCCCTCTGTTTTACTGTATTGTATTGTATTTTACTGTAGTACATTTGAGGATACCACATCACAGTACTTCAGTTCCATCCAAAATAACAAACAGAAGTGGGAGGGACATGTTCTAGTTTGTTCCTGTAAAATTAAGCATCACATTTATCAACTGTAAAGAGAAAAGTATTTTCAAAAAACGTATTTTTTAGGAGAAGCATCAAGTCTTCTCAAGTCACAGGCCTTTAGTCTGAGTAAAGTCCCAAGTTACTAATCTTCAAGTCTAAGTCAAATCCCAAGTCTTTGTCCATTTTATCAAGTCAAGTCTACAGTCATAAAAATAGTGACTCAAATCTGACTCGAGTCCAAGACACAACTTGCAAGTCCCCACCTCTGAGTAGTAGTATTGTAGTACTGAGTAGTAGTATAGATTTAGAAAGTACGGAGTAAAAAGTAGCAAAGTAGATCAGTACTTTGCTGCATTTTACTCCGTACTTTATTACAGATATGTCCATAAATAAAAAACACATTGTTATCAGTGTGTCTACACCTCCAAAGTTGAAAATACTCTCTTCCACCTCGTGATGTCATCAAGCAGCAGTTTTCAGGATAACAGATACCTTTTACCTTTTGTTCAGTAAAGATAATTCCAGGACTGAAACTATCCAAATAATTCCAGTGAAAGTGTGTGGAGTTTAAAAACACAATGGAGCACTTCCTGTATTAAAGCATGACATCACAAGGTGGAACTGAGTGTTTTCAGTCTGAGAGAAGAACTCAGCCTAAATATGCAGAGTTTGTGTGATAAATGTGTGAATGAAACAAAACACAACTCCAGGTTTGTCATGAGGAAACAACATTAAAACATAGATCAGAAAATAGTGAAAATAGCGGGCCCTTTAACACTAATGCATCTTTAACATCCTACTACTAGTACACGCATTATAATTTAGCTCAGGACTCGCTGTGTTTCGATTCCTGCTAAGTGACAAATCTTATCTTGTGCCCAGAGTCTACAGACATGATCAGAAGCAGTATTTTTGCAGCTGCAGCAGAGAACAAAGATCCGCTGGTGTCACTTTGAACTGAGCAGTGTTAACGAAAGCCCGGGATATTTTTGGCATCGGTTTCTCCCTCAAGTCTTTTTGCCTGCAGCCTCAACCAGCCTCCTGTCAGACTGTTCACTAAAGTATATCAATTATAGACTTACAGTAGAAGCTCTGCCTGGAATGTTCCACAGTGTGACTTTAAACAGCTCTACTTTACATTTATTCAATTACAAAATGTGGTTTTATAGCTCAAAAACACCTAGAAAAACAGGCATTCTGACTGTGAGCAGGGTTGCCTCTCCACAGATCTGACCTGGAACTTGGTCTGGTTTGGTTTCCATGAAGATCCAAAGGTTTACCTCTACCAGAAAAGTTACACAATGCACCTTTAATGTACATAAGATAGTACCTGTGGTCAGTATTTATCATAGTTTTACATCAGTTCAGTAGCAAAAAGTGTGGGAAAAAAGGAGTTAAATTACATTAAATTGTAAATAATAAACTAAAAGGTGCACTGTGTAACATTTCTGGTCCAAGGTCCACCACCTGATGTCTCCATGGAAACGTTATTTCTTCATCTAAAATGTTCCACAGTATAGACTATCCAGTCATCCATCCATTTTCTTTCGCTTATCTGGGGCCGGGTTGCGGGGGGAGCAGTCTAAGCACCCCAGACACTTCCTCCAGTTCCTCCAGGGGGACCCCAAAGCATTCCCAGGCCAGCCGAGAGACATAGTCCCTCCAGCATGTCCTGGATCTTCTCTAAAGCCCAGAAGCGATGAGCCCAGAACACCTCCCAGATGCCCGAGCCACCTCAGCTGCTCCTCTCGACGTGGAGGAGCAGCGGCTCTACTCCAAGCTCCTATAGACTCAGTATAGACTCAACCTGTCTATCACAAGGGAGACAAGCAGGTTACAGCACTAAGCTACATTACTATTCAGATCTGTGTCGCCCCTATATGCCTAAAGTCATACCATGGAACATTCCAGACAAAGCAAAAACATTGGCAACTTACAAGTACATATGGCAGTTTTTTGTTTTTTTTTAATTCTTACTCTTTTTTTTTTATACTATGAACCAGATATTTTGTGTTCTTAATAAAGATTGAACTGAATTAATCTGTGGATGTTTTTATGATCCTTTTGTTGTTGTGTTGTGCCGTCTTTTGATAAAGCATGTGATCCCCTGTCCCAAGACAAATTTCTTCCATGCGATACAATAAAGGATGATCTTATTTTATCTTAATTATCATGTAAAAGTGCTGTAACTCTTTGAAAGTTCCTTGAAATATAAAGTGCAATATAAATAAATGTATTATTATTATATGTCAATCAATATTTGAACCAAGCCCAGGATTCAAAGCGTGTTAAAATATTGTTCATGGCAGGACTTATTTTTGTACAACATTTAGGAAGTTATTTCAATCTACATTTGGAAATAAAGCAACATACATTAAGTTCATTTTTCATACAGTCATTATAGAAGCCAATTCCCTGTCACAGCTCCACCACAGCTGCTGGAGCGATCTGGGAATTCTGTGCACGTTTAAAAATTGTAATTCTCCGAGCGCACAGCCAGCGAAACTCAAGAGGGAGGGGTCACTGCGTTCTAAAGGAGTCCTGGCTCTGACCTTTTTCAAAATCAGGACTTGGGACTTTTTCATGGGTCTAATCACCTGCGCAGATGTTACCGGGTCATTAAGGTCCAGTCCACAGTGATCTGAAACAACGAATGGATTTCAAATATGCATGTGGTTCTTTACTTAAACTTACATTTAAAAATAATTAGCCCCCTGAAACTCTGTGGACTAAAACAACTTTCAGTCTTCATCCTAAACATAGAGGTATTTTAATTGTGTGTTCAAATGCCTGTGCACTGCCTTGGGCCAGGAGAGACTGTTTGTGTAGTTTGTGTCTGTTTTTATTACTATTTCTGATTTTTTCTGGACCCATCCTCTTTGACCAATTGTATGAACATTTATTTTGTCAGCTACAATTATTCACTTGACTCAGGAAGTTCAGTATGTGTAAACCACAGACAACCTTATTATTGTTGTAAAAAAAAAAAAGTGAGAAAGAAAACTACTATACAGATCATTGAAAGTATTTTATGACAAAAAATATATATATACATGCAGTTTCTGAAACAATATAATGTTTCAATGAATCTCCATTCTTGTTTTATGTTCATTTACAAATATCACAATCACTAAACAATAGCACCACATGGTGGTCAATCCTAATACTCCAGAGGCCAAAAAGGATGGACATTCCAATACAAATGAGGAAGAAGAAGAAGAAGAAGGGGCCCCTAACACCCGGGTCAGAGGCCGGTACCGGGCTGTGGGTCATTTGGTACCGGGCAGCGAAAGTGCGAACCTCGTGCAAATTGTGCCTCCTCCCGTGTTTCCCGCCCCTCTAAACCAGAACTAAAACCAGGACTAAACAAGAACTAAACCAGGTCTAAAACCAGGACTAAACAAGGTCTAAAACCAGGACTAAACAAGGTCTAAACCAGGTCAAAAACCAAGACTAAACCAGGACCAAAACAGGCTGCATTGACAGTATCGAACATAAAACTGGTCCGTGGCGCAAAAAAGGTTTTGGACCACTGCTCTAAAACATAAATAAAATGTGCAGTGGTTCGCACACACCCCAGGCTGTGCAGGTGAAGTTTGCATGTTGTCCCTCCCCTGAGTCTAAGCAGCTTTGAGGACTCTTCTTACTTATCTTCACTCTTTCAGACTCATCGGGAATTGGTCACAGATATTCTTGTAAACTTCCTCTGTGTAGTTTGTATCTCTCTCGTGGCTTCCTCCATGTCACAGTACCTCAGAGTCAGACCTGTGAAACAGCAGCACATCATTACAAACGTCATGTGCATAACCACCCCCCTCATAAGCCCACACTGCACTGACCAGGGCACAGCACTTTAGCCAGGGGGGCCTTGACTCTGCGCAGCTCGGGGTTTTCTCTCTGGTCCTGGGCAGCGTGGAAAATGGTGAAGTGCAGAGCGGGCCACCAGTCCATCCTCCCAAACATCACTTCAGATACAGTGTCTTCAAAGTCCTCTCTGTTTGAGACACAACACAGAGACACATAAGCAACATCAATATGCACAAGAACACAGCAGTAGGTTTGTTAAAAGTATCAAAAATCAGATACTTCTAGTGTTGAAACTCGATATTAATTTGGGCAAGTATCGATACAAAAAAGTTACATTCACAAGGACAGAAATTAACCTTTTCTGAATAGTTTTAGAATGATCTTAAAACCCATGGAACCTGCCTACACCACTGAGGGATTACACAGATATAAAACCACATGGCATTATAAAAGAAAGTACTATTATTTATGGTTAAAAATGGCATTCTACTGCAGGGGTGTCAAACTCAAATTTACAGAGGGCTAAAATCAAAAACTGTGACTAGGTCGTGGGCCAAACTAAATATTTATTGAAAAATCTGAACAACATTTGCATGTTTTCTCTTCTTTCGAGATGTGTAATGTTAAACCTTTTCTTATTTAAATAAATGTTTAATAATAGTTTTGCTTAAACATTGAATCCAGAACAAGCAAAATATAAAATAATAACAAAAATTTTAGTAAATAATGTCTCTATAGCCCATCTGTAGCCGGTGGGCAGCTCTAATACTATTTCATGTGATCTTGCGGACCAAATATAATTATATCCCGGGCCAAACTTGCCTCCCAGGCCTGAGTTTGACCTGTCTGTTCTACTGTCTAAAGAGTGTTTTTTATTGTCACCTCTGGTATAGGAATCGATATTGAGTATTGAATCTACTCCTTAGTATTGAAATAAAGTTTGAAATTGTAACAACACTACTCAGGAGGTATATTATAAATATTATTGGGATTACTCTGATTGTAGTTTTTCAATGATTGATTTTAGAGTCTTCCAGATTTCCAGGTTGTTCCTCCAGCAAGCGTAGTCCAGCATGTCCACAGTGACTTCCAAAGCCTTCCTTGTTTTGCCTACAAACACAAAACAATGAACAATGTTGATTTTATTAATATAATTTTTTTTTTTTATTAATTAAAGAGAGGGTATTACACTTCTGTGGGGTATTAATTGATCACACATAACATATTTTATCGATTTTTGTTGTTGTTTGTTTTGTTTTTGATGCTCTAAAACTCCCTTTTCCCTCCATACTAAGCCACCCCCCCTTCAGAGCGCTATCACAACACAATCAGTGTAAATCCTAATAATGAAACTACTGCACCATCAGATTTGTGAAGGTGCTGTGTACAGTTTTGTATCATGTTTTTGTAAATGGCCTTGAGGGAGCGTGGATGACGCAGGTTTGTGGGCTTAGTCTTTGACACAATCTCACAGCTAACCCTAAGGAAGGTTTGAATAGGGCCCAGGAGAGATCACTAGATTACTCAAACATGCCTGGATGACATAAAACCACTTCAGGCATGTTTTCAATGAGGGAACATTATAGCATGGTAGAAAGCTCCATCTTAAATGAACGAATGTCCGCTCTGAGACACTGGAAATTGCGTGTCTCGCCAAGAGCAAAATGTTACAACGCATCACTTGCGTAACCAGGATCTGAGTTTTACCTGACTCAAGCAGAAGAGAGCAGTACTCAGTCATCAGGGAATGGCTTGGGACTAAGGCATGGAGAATCTAAACCAGAAAATAAACAGGATTAATATTACAAATAAATCTTCAGAATTATCAGGAATCATAATCAAAAGAAAATTGAAATTGGGTTAAAATTATAATTAGTATGTATAGTATGTCATTTATTTTGCTATATGTAAATTTTTGTAAAGTCAATGTACATAAGCAACCATTATTTTTTGAAATTTGAAACTATGTAATGAATAGGGGTGGGTTAATGTAAGTTCTTTTTCTTCTGCTTTTCTGTTGTTTACATTGTATATGTAGTATGTGTATGATTATTGCTTCTCTCTTGGCACAAGCTCTAAATAAAACTAATCAAATTAATAATGTATGGCTGCAGCAATTAATGCGAATGTGACTATTTGACTAATAATCTAAATTGTTTCTTAATAATCGTAAATGTTAACTGGGCTATATACCTTCTAAACCAGAAAGACAAAGACTTTTTTCAAGAAACACAAAGACATTCGTAAATGAAATTGTCAAAAATGGATACTTGGATACAAATGGACCTCAGCCTTGTGGGGTTCTGCATGTATGTCCACGGTGAAATGTTCAGCAGTTACGATGGTGACACAATGCAGACATTAGCATACGCTGGCAAATAATTAATTTGATTATTTGAAAACTAAAAAAACTCAAATGGACAACAATGGATTTAAACAACAAATTTTCAGGAGTTTGTAATCATTGACACGGTTCATGGTCCTAAAACCCTGTGTCCTGTCAGTCATCGTATCATTGTTGCACTGTCTTTCTATGACCTCTTGTATATAACTGAGATTTGATATTTTTATTAATTATTTTCTTATTTTATTTTGACTTTTACATTTATATAGGAGAAAACACAATGACGTCATGTCCGCGGCGGCAGCCAAAAAGCGTCCGTATCAACAAGTTAACATAGTCAACAATTATCGGCGAGTTTTAACTTTTCAAAGTAATGTTTCTAATCCTCAACATTTGGGGACTTAGAGTAAGATGTTGAAGTCATGTCAAAACAATTAAATGCAAAATCTACTTCAAAATAAGACGGGTTATCTCATGACAGACATAAGCAACGCAACTGTCAACACAAATGAGCGGCCCCACGGCTTTTTGTCTACCAGTCACTGCGCACGTGCGGAAAAGCCGGATGTAAACAAAAACGTTTTCTCATATAATTATGCCTTATTTGACCTGTCTCTTGCTACCTTTTTTGCTATTTCTTCAGAATTTAGAATAATTATATTGTGATGTGTGAGCTACTGTGTCCAAATAATTTCCCTTGTGGATCAATAAAGTTTGTCTATTTAGGTGTTAGATTTTCAACAAAAAGGTGAGAGTGACCAATTAAAAAACGGTTGGCCAATGCTAACTAGTGTGTGACTGTAATTTTACTAGAGAGAGACTTGCTTACCAGTACAAATCAGATCACCTGTTGAAGATTCAATCAGATTTACGCCTAGATTGTGTTAATACAAGGCTCATATTTAAGTGTAACTCGAGTAACAGAGCCTCGGACAGAGCAGTGCCGACAGTTCACACCCCCAGAGAATGTTCATCATCATTTTTATCAATAACAAACTTAATTCAGAAATCTTCTCTAAATATAAATGTATTAAAAAATGTGAATGTAAAATAGAAATAATTGTCCAAATCGCCCACTGCTAAAATAATAAGTCAGTTACTTGCAGCCTTATAGTACTGGTGAATAAGAGTGTAGTACTTTGAGCACTTTGAGGAGCTTCTTGGTTGTTGCGTCGTGTCTCTTCAGATATTGGTACAGATAGACATGTGCGTTTGGATTCGGAGGGAAGGAGTTGTCATAGGCGTACTCTTCCAGGACCCTCAGAGCCTCCTCCTGGTCATCGTAAAACTCCAACATCTGGGAAATTATTGTACACACAGGAATTAGACAACATACCAGGATAAAAAACGATGACTTTTATAGACTTTTTTTTTGATTGATTCATGCATGCTTGAGTAATCCTATATTGTCCTGCATGTGTAATCTTGAAGTTGAAGTTCTTGTTGTCAGTTCTGCTGCTATACAGTATTGTTGATTTCAGATTTATGACATACACTTAAGCGATATGAATGTTAAAAAGTACCGCTCTCTTACCTCGACATAGCTCAATATAAAGGGATCCCACACGCCAGGGTTTTTAAAAATTTCCTTCAAATTCACTGAAGCCTGACGGAAATAGATGTGCATGGATTGAGTCGCAGCATTTTGTGCAAAATCTGGAAAAAAAATTAAATATATATAAATATATTATAACGTATACATACACTCATTCATTTAAATCCAAATGCTCAATCGTTCCCAGTGAAGCAATGTGTAGATTCTTACAGATGTCAGCAGGGGGCACTGTGATATCACGTGCTATCCTAAATGTTCACATTAATGTCTTACTAGAAGCAGAGATGGAAAGAGTACTGAAAAGTTGTACTTGATTAATAGTGTTACATGAATTTAAGTAAAAGTAAAAAGTAAGCATGAAAAATACAACTTAAAGTACTTTAGATTCCTCCCTTATGCAAAACTTTAAGAGCATATGAGGTTTTTATCTTTGACTTGATTTGCTGGGATAGTTCCAGTAGTAATTATTTATCGTAGTTTTACATAAGTTAAGTGACAGTTTGTGGGGGAAAAAAGGTTATAGTACAAAAATACAAGAAGTAGCCTAGTGGAGAGTTCTAAAAACTAACTACCGTATTTTCCGCACCACAGGCCGCGCTCATAAGCCTCCAACCCCATCAAAAAATGACTAGGCGCCCCGCAATCCAGAGTGCCCTATACACGAATCCACTCGGGTGTCCCATCATGACTTCAGTGAACTACAAAGCCACACCACCCACAGCGCACGCAAACACACACGGAGCAGACAGAGACCGTGCAGCGAAAAACACCCACAGCCACACTCATCACTCCACGCAGACGAGGAACGGAACAGAGGAACGAACCGAAAAAGCGAGTGCAATGTGCCACAACTGAACAACTGAGTCACTGTGAACACGCCAACAATCCAGCGGTCCCAGACAGCACCCTCCCTACACGCCACAACTGAACAAAGCCCAGAGCCACCATGAACGTGCCAAACAAAGTCCCACTGAACCATCGAACTGTTGTGTTTCGTTTGAAGTCCAGTGCAGTTTATTTGTGAAAAAGTTTGAAAACAGACCATTCTATGACAGTGCGCCTTATAATCCAGAGCGCCCTATGGACATCCAAAATGTAGGGACAATTGCAGGTTCATCCATACATTTTCTTCTGCTTATCCGGGGCTGGGTCGCAGGGGCAGAAATCTATGCAGGGACTCCCAGACTTCCTTCACCCCTAACACTTCCTCCACCCCGGACACTTCCTACAGCTCCTCCGGGGGAACACTGAGGCATCCGAGCTCCCCCCATGTGGTGCAATTGCAGGTGTTGTCATTTATCTTTATTTGTCTATTCCTAACTATTGTGTCATTTAAACAAGTTCTGGCTTTTGTTTACAGTATGATTGTGAGGTAACAGAACTGAAATTACCTCTGTCATATTTGCTGCCAGTGTCTAACCAGGAAGTCAAATTATAAATATTTGTAGGTATAGAAATGAGTCTTATATAGTCTGTGGCATATAGATGTAAGTGAAACAGCCATGGACTTGCTGTACTCAGTAACTCCTATGATTTTAAAATTAACTAATGCAAATTGTATACTAGAATCTAATCAAAAGTACAATTACACAATGCATCTACTTATTTACGTTAATGTGAGTATTTGAAATTAGTTACTTACATCCCTGACTACAAGAATCAGTAATAGTACTTCTCACAAAATTAAAAGTACTAGTAACACTGAATGAATACATTGAGTACCTTTGGTGGAAGTTCCTGCTTTTTTCTCACACCAGATGAAATAGTCCAGCAGACTCCTATAAGCCTTGATCAGTGTAGTTCTTTTAATCTGAGCTGTGGTCTCTTTTCCATATCTCCAAGTCTCTGCAACAGACAATGTGTTCTTGGCCTCTTGGAGATGACCCAACAGAAGCAGGTGAAACGACTGCTCCAAACACACCTGAAACATTTTACACAGACTCTCTTAGTTTACTAATTGTATTTAAAATCTAAATAATAATTTAATAACTAAAGACAATGTACCTTCAAATACTGCTTTACTCCGGAGTGTTTAATACGATCATAAATGTTGTTGTAATCCTCCAGTTTTGAGTTTGGGTGATGGTGAAGAATCTCAATGCCCATTCTCCAAATTAGCTGCAAGACAGTTACATAACACACATATAAACAGAGAGTTGAGGCAAAAACTTTTCTGATCAGACATGAGAGATGTGTTTGTCCTCTGATCCGAAGGTTGGTGGTTCGAATCTGGTTCTCGACATAAAACATCATTGGTGGAGCGGCCAGATAGAGCAATTCCAGCTCCCACAGATGAATGCTGTCATTGTGATGATGATATAGTGTATATAGCTCTATGCTCAGGCAAATACTCTTATGCGTAAGTTTGGTTCTTGTACAAATGATATAAAGTTGCTATTGTTTAAATCATATTGTACACCGTTGTACACAGCTCACTTTTGGACTAATTATAAAAAAGACAGTTGGCAAAGACTGCAGGTGGCCTACAATGACGCTTTATGGGTGCTTTTGAGGAGGCCACGATGGACGGGTGCAACTGAAATGTTTGTTACTGCACGAGTGAACACTTGGTAACTGCGCTCAGAATTTTAATGTACAGTTTTATCTTCAGACTGAACAAATCAAACAATGAAATAATAATGTCACTCACAAATTTGAGATCCGGTGCAATAAAATATCAGTCCAGTATGTGGAGACACTGGTATTGTTGTCTTTTAAAAACATAAATGTTTATTGTTTTGTAATGTCACTGTCCTTGTCTATTTTAAAAAAGGGCCATGAGTTCGGAATAAGGATGATGATGATGATTGTGTTCGTGGGCAGGTGGTTGTGAATAGGTGAGTGGTTCCTTGATGTAAAGTGCTTTGAGTGCCTTCAAGGTGGAAAATATAAAAATCGTGACCATACTGCTTTTCCTAGAATATCACACAGTTTTGCTCCATCTATCTTCAAGTAGAGGCCAAGTTTGAGGTCAAATCTGTGAAGAGGTGACCCCATTCACAGTAAGAATGCATCTTTTCCAAGGTATTTTTAAACATGAAAAACAGGTATGTTTAATGCCACGCTGTGTAAGCAAGTACTAGACCCTCTGTCAGAAAGGTTACATAGTGCAGCTTTAAAGTCAGCAGGTGTAGGACAAGAGAATGGAAATGGCACAGAAGATACTCTTTGCAACTAATATCATCAATGTTCCCTGGAGGGTAAAGCTAACTAGAAGAACTGGTCTATCTGAAGCTTTGTTAACTCAAGTTATACTTTAATCTGATCTTTGTTTTAACACAATCTGTTAGTCTGTTGTTTTTGGTTGTCTTGTCGTTCCTATGATAAATGTTCTTTAGAAAGTCAAGTTTATGCATCTTTGAAAAGGTGTATTTGCATTTTTATTCCACAGTCATTATATTAGTTGAAAATGATCTTAAAATGTCAATATTATCGTTTATCGCAATAAATTCTTGGTCAATTAATCGTCCAGCAAAATCTGTTATCGTTACAGGCCTAGTTGTAACTGCTGAACAGCTACATCAGTGACACAATGCACTGCAAAGTATCAACAGGAGAGGCTGATCCTACCTCTTTATGCTGCACTTCTCTATTATGAGTATTGTCTTCTAATATTTGCTGAAAGTATGCCATGTACTCTGCAGCTTCCTCCCATCTGTGGTGCAACATTGCTTCTCTGATCTGCTCCAGACACAACCTTGTGCTCTCGTGGAATCCAGTTTCATGTTTCTCTACAATAAGAAACATAAAATAAACATGGGTAAACGTATTAAGGATAAATCGTTGTATGATGGATTTGCTACTCACTCTTTAGCGAAGTACTTTTTGGTAGCGGTAGTTTTGCCTTCTTTGTGGATGCAGTGGAGTCTACAGAAAAAGAGTCACTTTCTGGTTCTGGTTCCAGCCTTTGGAGTTCATTATAAATGTCATCCATGGTGACTTCACAGTAGATTTGTTGAATTTCTAACCTAGAAAAACAGTCATGTACAATCAGATATAAAGATTGTTAAAGAGCACTACTTTTCTTTTGGAAGGACTGCCACCTGCTTGTCTTAGATGGAGCTCTGTTATTTGTTTAGCAATAAAACACCTGTAATTGATAATGAAAGCACACATAGATAATTTAATGCCATACTGTGGAATCTTGCAGGCTAAGATAAGAAGACAAGATAATCCTTTACGGGAGAAATTTGTCTTGGGACAGGGGATCACATGCTTTACCACAAAGACAAGACAAAACAGCAACATAAGCACCACACAAATCCTCCATAGTACATAAATAAATAAGAGCTAGTATGACCACAAGTGATAAACCAACAGGACCTTTGAGTCACTCTATACAGAAATGCCTTTCACAGTCTTGTATTTAATTAAAAAGACTGTGAAGACTAAGACTGAGTAATAACATCTCTGGTGGAGCCTCGAAAAAAGTTCCATAGTACGCATTGACCGTACTAAACAATATTTTAAGAGATTTAACGACATTTTCTTGCAAATACATAAAAGAACGAATGCGCTACTTGCCTTTTTGCATCGATTTTACTCCTTAGTTGGCAGAAGATGCTCCCTGTATTCACAATTTCAACTTGGCTAAACAACCTTTTCAACAAAAAATATCATAAAACAACCAAAACCAGTATATCCTTACATCCTAAAAAAATATTTGACTTGAATATTTATTTTAAGATAGATTTCTGAGCGGTACTTATAAACATGTGCAGTCCACAACACGGAAGTGAGAGTGATGCTGCATTGTGATTGGTTAAAAGAAACGGAAAAGGCGGGACATTTGGAACTTGTCAAAATAAAATGCACACGTAGACACATCTTGCGAAAGATAATATAATTTTATTTGTTTATTTTATTTATTTTTATATTTTTTTCAAGAAAATGGATGGCATACAATTCTTTTTCATGTGTTAAAATAAAATAAAAAGATAAAAAAGATAAAAAATAAAAATAAAATAAGGCAATCGATTATCCATTAGTTTCACGAGCTATCACCCAATATTTGATTATAAATGTCGATATTTTTCGACGTAAATTAGATCTTCATTAGGTATGGTGACCAGACGTCTCTATTTACCCGGGACAGTCCCAATTTTGAGCCCTGTGTTCCCTGTTCCAGCAGATTTACCCAAAACCATTGATTTGTCCCATTTGTTTTATACAAGAAATGTCTCAGGTGTTCCTATTTTTGACCAATTTTATACCTGCCAACAGTAAAGAGAGGGATAAATTGTAATTTGTTTAGGTACAATGCAGAAAAGATGCTGAAAAATAGTAAGTAAAAGGGGCCAAAGTGACTCATGTTTGCCATAAATGAACCTAGTGCATAACAATTTTCCTTAATTGCGCGCTCGTTTTACACTTGTATTATTACAAACCACCACAAATCGGGGGTGTCTCAGTTTTAACTTTTGAAAATGTGATCCACCTATCATTTTGACAGTTCGTGTTTTTGCGTTAACAGTGAAGTGTGTCCGCCTCTACGCCCAAAGCTTCGTGAATAGGCCGCGTGCTGACGTGTCTCCCTCCCCTGCTCTCCACTTCTCCACTACACTACAGCAGCCCAATCAACATTCACACACACACACAAGTGCCAACATGGCAGCAAAATACATCTACCAAAACGGATTTTTATTACTTTTATTTAATTTTATATCAACAGCGGCCTTGGAAAAGCGATTCTCTGACTTGAAGCGATGCGCGGACGAGGAATGCAGCAGTAAGTTTGGCTCTTCCCAGACTTCCACCAGGATGCATCTCCCCATCTCTCCAAGAGCTAGCCATAAACCCTTATCTTTTCAGCTTTTACTGATCGATAATCGCGTGCTGATTCAACCTTTGTCGTGGCAATGATGCTGTTTACTTCTGTGATGCTTGGATGGATGCTGCCAGTGTTTTATTGGCAATATTTACTTGTCTTGGGGGCATTTTACGCGCATATTGTGTTGGCCGGTTGCCTGGCATTTTCGGCCTGTAATCTTTCTATGCTGCCCCAAGCTAGCGTTAGCCACAATTAGCTATACAACCCCCCAGTTTGACCCCATCTGACAATTGTTTACCTTTGCTGAGGTCATACTGGTTACCTCCATTGTTTTTCATTATTCACCTCTTCTGCTTACAGTCTGCATTGGAAAACTCTTCTCTTAAGGCAATGAAACTATTCTAACTTAGAGATTTCCATGGTTAAAACAATTTGAGAGATAAAATATGCTATACAAAATAAACTTTGATTGGAACTTGGAATAACACGTTCTGAAAAAAGTACTATTCACGAAAAAGTACTGAAAATACTGCTAAAACTGGAAATGTGTCTACTCAGGCAACTACTACTTTACTATAACTATCTAATGCCACACATTATAACAGCTGACAACAATATAGACATTTTTTTTTGACATTTTACAAATCCATTCTCAATATTTCTTAACTCAAAACGTCAAAAAAACATACATACCACCACATTTTAAAATTAATTGGGTTAGATTCTACTAAAACTTCTGTATATGCCAAAACAAATAAATGTATACATGTTCAGATTTACCTTGATTTGAGCAAACAGCCTGCAGTGAAGGTTTGGTTCAGCCAATTCCCTTTGCATTTTCTGATAAAGAAACAAATGGGCTGAGTATTATTAAGAATTTGCCGATACGATACATATCTCAGTACAGTGTGCTTTCAATTCCATACTATATTTCAAATCGATTCAATACCATTCAATAAAAATAATGTTTAAATTATGGCTGTGATACTAAATGTCTTTGTTAAACCACTTCTTGTGTGAAGTGAATATGAAACACACGCACATTTTAATCATAAAAAAACTGTGAAAATGTCAAATATGTTCCATAAAAGAGTTTCCTTCCACTAAACAAGCTACAAAACTGTAGCGCTGTAACAAATTACAAAATACAAAATACTCTTGGTGATATATCGATACAGCAGCCCATGATATCAGTACAGTATATCGCATTATACGATACGATATATACATATTTCAATATTTTTGCACACAACTATCTGAGATTATGTTGGACTCTTTTGTAATTTATTGATGCGTTATTATAGAGGGTTTACACACAATAAAAAACTAAATTGACAAAATAAAATTAGCCATTATTTAAAGGTCATGTTTTGTGTTTCCCATAGTGCTGTTGGTCCGTGGCAAAGCCTTGGATGATTTCCGTGGACCAGATTGTAGATTTCTTTCTTTTAAGAAATCAGAAACAATTTATGTTTACTACAAACTGGCTGGCAGAAGGGCAGACATGTGGGCTGGAAGTGTGAGTATCTGCTGTGTGAATTTAACTGTTTTAACATGCAAGTTATAGGCTATGTAATAATGATTTGTTTTTAATGTTTTCTGTTTTAGGTTGGAAGTAGCTTTGGCTATTTCCCTAAAGATCTACTAGCAATAAACCACATTTATACAGACAAAGAATTTGAAGTTCCAGCTGAGGTAGGGATCAAACACACATAAGCTTAAGCACCTTTTTCTTGACAGAATTAGAGTTGGTATGTTGTAAAGAACTGATTGTTCCATAATATGATAACAAAAGTAAAGTTAATGTTAAGATAATGCACCTTCAGACTACATTTCAAAACTTTTAGCCTTTCAGTAATGTGTAGCATGTTAAAATTCACTAGTTCAAATGTTAAATTGATAAACAGAAGCTTTAAGGACATAAAAATTGTTTCATGTGGAGAAACACCTATCCACAACTTGTGCCTTTTTTTTTCAGGAAACAGATTTTGTCTGTTTTGATACTGGATTTGATAAATTTCAAAGCTATGATGTGGACCATCTGTTGAGCTTTCTAAAGGAGGGCAGTAAAGATCCAAGCAATATTACATCATCCCCAGTCTCGCAGTCTATACAAACAGATACAAAACCACCAGAGGAGAACAATAATAATGTCCCACAAGAGCAGAACATGTCCCCAAATGAGACCGAAATAGAGACAGAATTATCCCCTTCTGAAATGCAAGTAACACCCGACACTAGAGTTAAGGGAAGTGAGAGTGAGCAGCTGACATTGCAAGACCCTGTTGTTGAAGAAGTTGTAGAGGAAGTCTATGAAACCAAAGAGGAGTCATTCCAACAACAACCAGAAGATAATTCTCACAAGGAAGATGTTCATGATCCAGAACCGCATGTTACGCCATCTGAAAATACACAAATTCCTGAACTAACGACCAGCTACGGTACGACTTTTGACGCTGTTGTTACAGAGGAAACGACCACTGCGAAAACAACTCCAGAAGAAGTTTTAGAAGAAGAACCAGAAATTAAACCGCCATTGTTGCTAGAAAATGATGTTAAGTCTGGAGGTGCTTTGGTTGAAAAACAAGATGACCAAGCGACGGATGAAAGCATGTGGTCGTCAATCGGCGATGCAGTTTTTTCGGTCGTAACGGGAGGACAAACTATGCACTTAGCTGATGTGAGCTCAGATGAAGATGAGGATGATGAAGACGACGACGTTGTACCACCTCCTAAAACTTTTGAGGAAATTAAAGCTGACAAACAACCACTTGATGTTAAAATGCCAGTGGAGGCTCCAAATTTGACATTGAAACCAGAAGATGAACAAGAAATTGCGAGTGAACAGTTGCAAGAAGTAGATGAAACAAAAGTAGAAAATACCAAGACTGAAAAACTTATATTTGAAACCGAAGGTCAGATGATTGGCCCTGATGGAACCTCTTGGAAAATTGTAGAAGTTGCAGCTCCAAGTAATACAGAAGAAAAGGAGGAGCCCAAACAAGATGAACCTTTGCCAACTCAAGAAAACGATAACCTTCTGGATCAAAATCTTGAAACGCAAGATGATAAAGCAAATTTGGGCGTCGGTGAAATCAGAGCTGAATTGAAAGTAATTAGTGACACTGCAAAACCCCAAGAAAGTCGAGATATAGTAACACCAGAAGAGCGTTCAGAAGAAAATGCAATAAAATTAGAAGTTGAGACAAGTTCACGTGAACAGCGTGATTTAAATATTGTTACAAAAGATAAAGAAGGAAAAGCTGAAAAGAATTTACTTAGGAAAATCCAAGAAAATCTAGACCATATTAGACGATCTGTTTCAAAAAAGGAGGAACCCTGTGAGAGAGGAAACCGTGAGAAAAGAACCCATGAGAGAAGAACCTGCAAGAGAAAAACCAGCGAGCAAAGAACCCACAAGAGAGGAACCTGTGAGAGAAGAACCCGTGAGAGAAGAACCCGTGAGAGAAGAACCCGTGAGAGAAGAACCCGTGAGAGAAGAACCCGTGAGAGAAGAACCCGTGAGAGAAGAACCCGTGAGAGAAGAACCCGTGAGAGAAGAACCCGTGAGAGAAGAACCCGTGAGAGAAGAACCAGCAAACAAAGAACCAGCGAGAGAGGAACCAGTGAGAGAAGAACCCACAAGAGAAGAACCTACGATGGAGGAACCTGTGGAAGAGGAACCCATGGAAGAGGACACCACTGAGGAGATTGAGCCAGATCTTAAAGATGAGCAAACTGGATTACTTGAAGATGAAAATGCACTTTCTTTATCACAAATGGACACAGTTGACAATGCACAACCTATCGAATCACCAAACGTGCCTGAAATCCCCGCACCAGAGCCAGAAGATGGAAAAGCTGGTCCATTAACGCCAGCAGACGAAGATCAAGACACCCTTACGCCCGAAACAGTGCCTCTGGAGTCCACGCCTGAACCCGAACCAGTCTATAGTGAAGATGTGATGCGATTGCTCATTCTGAGAGACCACTTATCTCAGGAGAAAATGGAGCGCTGTCATAATTATTTGGGACTCAAGAATCTGTTCAAACTAGAAGCCATGCTCGAAGACTTGGAGACAGAGCTGCAATCAACGCGGCAGTCGCAAATAGGCAGCGTCCAGGAGATCGAAAACGCGTTGGAAAGGATATTGGAAGCCAGCGAAAACGCAATCCTGGATGAAGTGGAGAAGATTTTGGACAGTCGGGAGTCGAAATACAGCGACGGGGAGCACGTCGGGTCGAACATAGACGAGGAGACGGAGATTCTAGATGACTTCCAGGAGATCGCCTTCAGTTTGAGGCACAAGTACTCCACGGCTAGTGACAGTACACCTCTAGCGGAAGGGATGCAAGATGATGGACCAGGTGAGTTGAAATATTTTGGAAAACAATTGTAGAAATGCCTCTTTTCTTAAACTGTACTGACAAGTTTGTTAGCTGTACAAACATGTTCAGAAACACATAGTTTGACAGCCTTTTTTTCAGTTCTTTAGTGTTTAAAATGTAAACATTAATCGCGAATCTAATCACAACTGCAATGCTTGTCAGAAAAATCGCAATTAAGATATTTTTCCCAAATTGTTCAGCTATAGTAATAGTAATCCCTTGCACTGAAATGGAGCAAAGGAGAATTTTCAGCTAACAAAACAGACTCAGCAGTTTTAAAATCCGATCAGTAAAAATAATATTGTGAGATTTTCCATTTATGTCGGTACAGCCCAAAATCAGAGCAGCAGTCGCCTTGCAGGGAGTCACTAAATTGTTGAGCTGAATCGACAGAAAATTTGAAAATCTAACCATGAAACAATCATTGATCAATAAAAGACAAGTGGATTAACCAATACTCACAGAACACAAGAAAATGAATAACTCAAAATCCCAGTGAATAAAGTAGAAATATTGAAAGACCACATCACAAAATAGCCAATAATAAATCTTGAGTAGCTAGTAGTACAGTATTTTGGCAGTCCTTTTGAGAATGACTGTAAACGGTATGTGTAATTGAATCAAAAGTACAGGTATGATGTATCAGAGGTGGCCTAAATGTGAAAAGATCAGGTAACTGCAGCACTTGAAACCCAGCACCAGCGATTGGAGCCAGGGACATGGGACAGGCCACGTCGGCTTAACACAAGGACATGTTTACAACAAGGCTTTTAAAGGGCTACAAGTTCATGTACTTCGTGTATCTCTAAGACTGCAAGTTGCTTAGAATTATTGATGTGTTTGATTACATTATCACATTTTCAAGGCCAGGACTAATTCCTATTTAACTGAAAATGTTGAAATCATTAAATAAATCTAAAGCTAAGGTAATTTTTTAATACTGATACTTGCTCAAATTAGTATCTAGTTTTGATGATAGTTTTAGTATCAATTAGTCCTAAAATAGTCCTGTAATACTTCTTTCTTTTGACAACCCTAGGATTTCGAAATTATACCATTGTACTCATGAATAATTTTTTTTTTTGTGCACATAAAGCAGATGTCTCAGAGAAAAACAATCAGTAGTAATATAATGACTTTTTTTTTATTCCTCAACCCCCGTCCCATTACCCTCCTCCATTGTCCCCCAGTGAGGAAAAAAAAAAAAAAAACATTAATAAAATAAAATATCAAAAAATAAAATAAATAATAAGAATAAAGTAATACTTAAATTAAATAAAATAAATACATAAATAAATATAGGGAAAAAAGGGAAATACAATTTTTTGACAGAAATTTGGTTAATTACATGCCTATTACTATTGCAAATGTATAATTCTGAAGCCCAACTTTTTGCACTAATAAATGTACAGCGGTTTATGTTTCATAGGCATCCAACTGTACCTAGAGGCTTGCTCTATTTCTTATAATCATCTCTATAATAATTTTTGCAGCCGGCATTTTTGTTTTGTAAAGGTAGCTCACCGGAGGAAAAAGGTTGGAGACCCCTGATGTAGTGTATTAAAGAACTTATTTACATTTGTTGAAACTACAACTACAGAGTCCTCTTGCTATTACGATATATTTTAGTGGAGACTTTTTGATGTGTGTGAAATGCAGCGAACCAAAGCGTTTTAACAGGATGTCGCAGTAATAATTATTGTCCTTTGGCGTTGTCCGCACTACAGCTGCCACTGTGTACAAAGACAAAGCATGTTTCATAACTGTACTGCAAACTATATAATGAAGTATCCATCTTTTATTTGTACAGTATTAGTATGTACTTAGTTTAATAATGCGTGACGAATGTTATTCCATTGGTTCTCTTGGAAATGACGTCATGCAGTTTCTTTCAGTGTAAAAAAATTTAAAATGTAAGTCGTATTTTCAGCTACCACGTGAATCTTTTTAAAGAATAGTGGAGTTTAGGTTGTCAAAAGTCTCAAATCAGTTACTAATTGTTACTAAAAGTAGTATCGCTACTAAAAGTTAAACTTGAACTTAAACTTGAAGTATCTGTACAAAAAAATTACATAACAAGAACAATATAGATTTTTTTTTAGGATGGTCTAAATCAGAACTAATATAGGACAACATTGTAAAATAAAGATACTACTGTCAATTAGCTTTGTAAATTACATTGTATTGTTGTCTAAAACAGTGACTATCAAACTTTTAACACCAAGTACCACCAAAGAAAAGACATGGATTTCCGAGTACCGCCACATCTAAACCGGGTCTACTGTAACAGAACTATTCTAGGTCAAATGTAGGATTAAACCAGGTCTAAATGTGGACTACATCATTTCCACTGTAGTTCTAAGCAAGAAATGCGTGACGAATGTTATTCCATTGGTTCTCTTGGAAATGACGTCATGCAGTTTCTTTCAGTGTAAAAAAATGTAAAATGTAAGTCGTATTTTCAGCTACCACATGAATCTTTTAAAAGAATAGTGGACTTTAGGTTGTCAAAAGTCTCAAAAAACAGTTACTAATTGTTTCTTAAAGTAGTATCGCTACTAAAAGTTAAATTTGAACTTAAACTTGAAGTATCTGTACTAAAAAATTACATAACAAGAACAATATAGATTTTTTTTTAGGATGGTCTAAATCAGAATTAATATAGGACAACATTGTAAAATAAAGATACTACTGTCATTTAGCTTTGTAAATTACATTGTATTGTTGTCTAAAATAGTAGCTCCCAAAATTTTAACACCAAGTACCACCAAAGATCTAAACCGGGTCTACTGTAACAGGACAATTCTAGGTCGAATGTGGGATTAAACCAGGTCTAAAAGTGGACTACATCATTTCCACTGTAGTTCTAAGCAAGAAATGATCCAAAGGAGGACAAAAAGTGGATAAAATGAACTGTATAAATTAGGTAAACTCTCAAACTGAAGAGGTGACCAAGTACAAGAAGCGGCTGTGTACCATAGTTTGCGAAACATTGGTCTAAAAAGAGCATTTCTTATAATATTGTGGCTCATAGTATCGAAATTGTTTAATATTGTGGTATAAACAGCCCACATAATAATTCTGACTGCAATAACTTCATGTTTTTCCTACTTCCAGATGATCAAGAATTGAATGTCAACGAAAACGTGCCTATTATCAACAAAGCTACGGACAGTGTAAACTCCACAGAATCCGAGGAGGACCAGAACCTCACACTCACTCATCCGGAGAAGCTGGTCCCAGAAGCAGAGTCTAAAAAACCAGAGGAGATAGTTTTGGATCAAGTTCACGGCACAGTGCCAGATGTGAGCGTGGAGGAGGACGGAGGGCACTTTAACAGGAACCAAGAAGACAATCAGCAGAGTTTTGGCACAGCAGAGGAAATGGCCAAAGTCCCTCAGGCCACGCTGGAGAACCCTCTAGACATGGGGCTGGGGGTCGAGGTGGACAATTCACCTTCAGGTCAGTTCTACACCTTACTACCAACTCTCTGACACTGTACCTTTCGATTGTCTTTAAAAACGTGAAAAACAGAACTACTTTTTAAACTGTTTGCAGTGGTCCAAAGTTATTCCTCACTTGCATTCTGAACATCCTAATTATATCCCCTTTTTACAACTTTTAGAGAGGCTTTTTACCGTCACCATTATGCAAACAACAACAACTAGCATTCTAACACACACTTCCTAATTCTTGGACAGTTAACCACTTTCTAATTAGATGCAGATGGTTTGCAGCGGACCTGTTTTGACCTCAGGAATTGCTTGTGTGAGATAAATTTTGCTCAAAATACATAGAAATAAAATGAATACAGGGCCTTTAATAGCTATTTTGTTGGAACGTTCAGAATATGTTAACACAGATATTGCAAAAATATCAAAATTGCAGTTTTGGCCAAAGCAGTAACCAATGTACTAATCAGGATACTAAATATATGATAACAAGTTCAATCTGATAAAGATGTAATGTTTTTAAACGGTAAAATGTAAAAAAAAAAAGGCAGATCTGCTTCCTTTTCTCATATCATGCGACCCTAATTCACTGTGTTTGTATATTCACGTACAAGACTGCAGTACTAATATGATTACTTGCATTGTCTCCATGTAATCGCTTTCTTTCACTGTCTCTAACTCTTAAATAAAAAGAAATAGCAATCTTGGCCCTTGACCTTTTGAGAAATCTTGAGTATTAGATATTAAAGTGTTATTATAAAAGCTGTTAAGACTAAACCTCTCTATTTCCCTCTTATTCCATTTTTCAGGACCTTTGGACTCCCTGGAGCCCCCCACTGAGTTTCACGAGGACGAAGGGGGAGTGTTTTCTACAGCACTTGTTTACCTGGAGTGCGTCACTGCGATGGTCAAGAATAAAACTGCAGAGTGGGCTACTGTGGTGAGTTGAATGTCCACACCTGTTATTAAGGAAATTAGCTTGCAGCAGTCAAAAAAGTACAAGAATACACTTTAATATTACACAGAAGCTGCCTTCACGTTATAGGGAATTGTTTGTTTTATTGACCTTTATTTGGCGGTTCAAATCCTGCTCTTGACATAAAAAAACAGCATTGGTTGAGCGGGCAGATCCACTGACTCACAGGTTGGCAATGCGATTCTAGCTCCCACAGATGAATGCTGTCGTTGTGTCCTTGGGCAAGATGTTTAACCTACCTCGCTCCTAGTGTCTGTCTACGCTGGTGTGTGACTGTGTGTGTGAATGGGTGAGTGGTTCCTTGTTGTAAAGTGCTTTGAGACCCTTGAAGGTGGAAAAGCGCTCAAAATGTGACCATTTATTTAACCAGGATGGTCCCGCTGAGATTAAGAATGTTTTTTTTAGGGAGTCCTGCCCCCACAGGACCTATTGGACCCTATTGTCCATGTTTTTAGTGTCAGGGGAAACCGGAGCACCCTGAGGAACACAAGCACAGGGAGAACATACAGAATCCACACAGAAAGGCCACATACCGCCCCAGATTCGCCCCACCCTGCGTGAGTGTGTGGCACCAAATAGTACTTGCTTAGTATGACTCAGGTTATTATAATGATTGAGTGTTTTTGCCCAAATGAAACTCCCTTGAAACTGACCTGTGCCAGTGTGACACAACACATATTTATTTCATATTGCTCTATTTTCTGATCTATCTTATAATTCAGTTTCCTTACTAAAACATACCTGGAGTTGTGTTTTGTTTCATTCACACATGTTTAACACACAAACTCTGTATATTTAGGGTGAATTCTTCTCTCATACAGAAAACACTGTGCTCCACCTTGTGACCACTTGAATAATTTCAACCTTGGAATTGCTAGTCCCTACTAAACTAAATGTAAAGGCTATCTGTTAAATTGAAAACTACCACTTCATGACATCACAGTGAAACAGCATTCTGAACAGCCTAATAATGCAGGATTACTCAAACATGTATAAATGAAACAAAACACTTCATCTATGTTTTTGATGAGGTAACAACATTATAACGCAGCTTAAAGCTCATAAAACAGTATATTTTGCATAATATAGGACCTTTTAATGAGTCAAAATTGCTTAAAATGTGCAACAATACGTATTATGATGAGATTGTTCTAATTTAGAGTGATCAGATTTTCATAATTCAAAACTAGGACACACACGCATAAATAAAATAATAATCTGTCACTGCATTTTTTTTTTGCTTTATGGTCATTTGCAAACACACTTTTTATATTTTGGCTTAAACAAATTACAATTTATGCTCCTCTTTACTGTTGGCAAGAATCAGATTAGTCAAAAATTAGGAATGTAATGATATGTAAATCTCTCAGTACGATATTATCACGATATGCATCTCACTGTACAATATTTATTGCGATATTTTGGAAAGGCTGATTTTATTGTAGATAGGACACTTTTTTTGATTTTGGTGTGAATTATTTCTGCCATAATCCCAAGAATTAAAGTAAAAAACATATTTCTTCATGTTGTTTGCACTGAAATTAATCATGGGATATGTAGTTCCCTATGTTTATAAGTTATTGTTACTATAAAACCATGCATTTAATCGTGAGACTTTTGACAATATGATATCATGATATTTCGGTTATTGTTACATCCTTAACAAAAATCGTGATAGTCCTGTTTTAGATCTGATGTAGTCCTGGTTTAGTCTCAGTTTGGTCTTGATTTAGATCAAACTGGTCAAAAATAGGGACACTTCATGGATAAAACTGGGACAAATCGCTAGTTTTGGATAAATCTGCTGGGACAGGGGCCACAGGGCTCAAAACTAAAGCACGTAGATTCAGTAATGCTTTATTTTCCCACGTCCCCAAACGCCTCTGCGCTGCTCTTGTGTTCCGTGAACGCAGCTTCCTTGTTGACTGTCGCGGTGCTGGGCTGAAGTTCAGACTGACAGACCCGGGTCTGAGCTGGCTTTTCCTGCAAACCACTACGAACCGGCGGGCCTTACAACACCGGGGCATGCTTCTTATTTACTACAGACACACCGGGACGAATAGCAGCTCCGTTGAGACCACACGGACCACATTTGTCCCGTTTTGATCCCGTTGTAGCTTTTGGTTTAGCGCTCACTGTTTTTACTCTTTTTGACAGCTACCGCAATCGTTCAGGAAGCTTACAAACTCCCACTTGTTAATTATATCTTTCCAAAACCAGAAAACCTTCCTGTGTTTACTAATCCTTTACACCAGTGTTCATTTTTTTTAAGCGTAAACTTCCGTAGTAGCATAGCGGTCCCTGACGTTAGCATCCATCTGTCAGAGGAGCTAACACCTGAGCTAACGCTAATCTAGTTTGGAGGTTTTGGAGGAGACTTTGGGCATGGACCGAGACACCGTATCCCGTCCCGACCTCCAGCAGGATCATGTGTACGTGTTTTTCATCCAGTGGCTGCAGCGAGTAAGTAAACGGGAGAAAGCTTGCATGCAAATACAGCACAGTTATTATTGCAAAATGTGTTTCGATCGCTGCTACGGGGAGGCTGACGTGTTAAAACGACATGCGACCGGTGCTCAATAATATCAGGCGTGCAAACTTGCTTTGCATTGCTCAACAAGCTCGTGTCCGGAGAATTATGTAGTTTAAAGGTGGAATGAATGGACTATAGTCAGTTTATGGTGGTGGTGGTAGCAGTACTTCTTTTGTCTGAAGGAGGTCTGTAGTTAATCCCCTCTGGAAATGATGAGATTATTGGTTTATTTTCAAGGTTATCTACGTTTACAGTGAATTTAGGTTATATTTTTCTCTCAAATTGTACTATAGTGGCTCTGACTTGACTGGATGGTACTTACTATCACTGTGATGTTGGTCTATTTGTGTTGTATTGCTAAACCTAGGGATTTAATAGTAATGAGACACCTACTGCGTTTGTAGGGCAATGGACTGTTAGGCAACCAAAATGCATATTAGTTGATTTGGGATTTATTTAAGTTGGTGAGTAAGCGGGTTAGCTGAAGATTTGGTATTGTTTTGTTTTAGTATTATTATGGTGATTACTGTTATTATTAAGAAAAAAGGAAGATTCAGCTCATAATTTATAGTCTTTGTAAATTCATAGTACTTTTTTCTGCATCAATAGTTGTTTTTGCATGAACTCCCCTGTGGTGTGGAATTGTGAGTGTGGTTTGAGTCACATACATAGAGACGCGTAATAGTTTTGTGCTTTTCTTTTTAATCAACTAATACAGGGGTGTCAAACTCACATTCACAGAGGGCTGAAATGTTAAACTTTTTCTTATTAAAATAAATGTTTAATTATAGTTTTGCTTAAACATTGAAACCAGAACAAGCATAATATAAAATAATAACACAATTTTAAATAAATATTGTCTCTATAGTCTATCTGTAGCCGGCGGGCAGCTCTAATACATATTACATATGATCTCGTGGGCCAATATATAATTATGTTGTGGGCCAAATTTGGTCCCCAGTCCTGAGTTTGACATGTCTGAACTAATCAATCTGCAGGACATATCTTTCTTTAGTCCAAAGTGAATTTCTTTAGTCGACTACAGCCTAATGTTATGAAATGGTTTTGCCTGACAGGCTAAAGAAAGTTTTTCTTTATCAGCCACATTTTGGTAGTTTGGCTGATTCTGGTTGGTCAGCTCTTTTAACTGCTTCAGTTATATAATGTTGTGTATTTCTGTTTTATTTATTGATTGTAGCGTCTGTATTACTCACTTTCTAAATTACAGGCAACGGCATGATGCAGCAATATTTCCTGGGTGGTTGTTTTGAAATCAACAGTACTGTATTTATTAATATTTTACATTACATCACATCAGTATCCTGGATGCAGTATCTCATTTTACTCACTACTGTTAATTGTTTCTCACAGATTCACTAATTGCATATCATCATAAAAGAGTATGGGACATTAATATCAGAAGCTGTTTTTACATCCACACTGAAATTCTAATCATTATCTTGTTGCTCACACTTGTGCAGGTTTTGACAAGGAAATTTATGCCAAACTTGTGCAAACTAATCTGGCATAGACAAAAACGAAAGAGAAAATGTTAATGATTGATCGAGGTATTTTAAAATTCACCAGATGTTTTTAATGATCAAATTTCCCTTGTGCAAGTGAACACACCAAAAACCAGATCTTAATGGGTTATCTGATTATGTTTGTTATCTGATTTTTAATGACCATATAAATACTGGAGCACTTCCTGGATACCGGTCAGTGGTGTCTTTAGTTGTATTAGTCGAATAATAATTTTATTTCTATGATAAGAATTTATTTGAGATAAAAGAGAAAACAGATGTTGGGTAATATTTGTTGGTGAATAATGTGTTTTAATTAGCTTTTTCCCCCCCCAAATACTCTGTTTCTAATACTTTCCTTTATTTTTTATTGCATTAATTCAAATGTAATTGTCTTTAGAGTGCAGTTACTTGATTAAATACATTGACAGATCATAGATGTATAATACTTTTGAGAGCTTTTGCCTTGAACATGTTTGTAGTTGACCAAGAATTACATTACAGCCCCACTACTCTTTATCAAACAGAAATAAATATACTTTTTTCTACAATTCTGTACAATTTCTACGGATTTCTACAGTATACCCTATAACTGTGTGTGTCCTTGTGTGCAGATGATAGCTCTTCTGCCCGATGAGTGGAGACCAGGGGAGACGCTGCTGGGCTGTCCATGGGAGGCCGTGGTGGTCACCGCTGTGGTCGGGATCCTGACCTTCACCATGTTCTTCTGGAAGACCGTGTTGGCTGTAAGTGCACCAACACTGACTGAATACAGTGGTTTTGATCACATGCACAGCAAAATCTTATTATGATCAAATTTCTTGGCATTTACTATTATTTAAATCAGGTGGTTTTGGGGTTGTTTACATGTCATTTGAATAGTCCTTTGGGATAGAGAGACATTTGAAAACATAATGCAAATCTACAAATTAACTGGTTTGTTTGTTGTAGCTGTCAGATCTGTTCAAAATATGATTGAAGGAACAATTTTTTAAATTATTATATTATTATCGTGTATATATCCTTATTTTGTTGTAGTTTTAAACCTATATGATAACATTTGAGCTGTACTTGGCTGAATAATTAACATCTATGACTCATTATAGATACTAGTACTAACTACTTAAGTGTTTAATTCTGCTATTTATTTATTGCTGGTCACATTTTTACAATATCGGTCACTTAGAACAAAGGTTAAGAGGGATAATCCTACTTTAAGGTCATTGGGACAGTGGTATAAAGGCATTTCAATGTTATCGTTTAGCTCAATACATTTTTGTAGCGCTTCAAAATATGTTTGCAATAAAAAATCCCAGAAATTTTGATTACAAGTAATACTTTTTTTCAATGTTTTCAAAAAGTGACGGTGAAAGAAACTGGTATAATACTACAAATGAATAATGACTTGATTATAATATCTAATTTGTTGGCACTGATTTTCTTTTTTTAGGTCAAGAAAAGGGAGTATCTTGGTATGTATTTCCTCTTTCTACCAAGCCTTCTCATTCTAACAATAAATGCTAATTGCAGTTTGGTTTTCTTGCATGGAAAAAGTGGATCATAAAAAACTTGAGGAGCAAATGGAGTTGTTGAAAAAAGAAAAGAACGACGCCTTGGCTAAAATAACAGAACTACAGAAACAGGTAAGACCATTAGAATCAAGTCAATGTTTTTAATCTGGTTTTCTCAAATTTGTGCTCTCTTTTGTGAAGTCTGAACAACTAAAAGAAAACCAGAAAGAGTCTGCAGAATCGGCCACTACAGCTCTCAAGAAGATGCGGGCTCTAGAGGTAAAGCACTTAGATTTAGCTTAAACTATTTGTGTTTTAGCCACTTGATGTTGCATGAACTTGGACATACTTTGGTAGTGACTGCTTTTGTACTGTACTCACTATAGCAAACAGGGAAAGACACTAAATTAGTAAAATACTGTGATTAAACTGTAGTAGATTTGTTTAATTCACAAAATCAAGGTCAGACTATGGTAAAAAAAAAAAAAAAAAAAACTTATGCAACTTTTGATTCTTTATGGCACTTGTGTATGTTTTCAATCACTCAAACTTTATTTATAGAGTGCTTTTCATACAAAAAATGCAACATAACACACTTTTCAAGTAGGAATTTCACTACACTAAACTTACTGTGAGAAGAAATGACACATTTTAAAGATTTTTCACTATTATTGACACTGACTCAACAGCAGTGAAATCCTTGAGTGTTGTAAAGCAAAAGTCAATGAAGAGAAGTCAATTTGTTTTACTTTTTTGGAGAATAGAACAAATTGAAATGACTTTTGCTGTATAAAGAAGTGGACTAAAGAAGCGTAACCATTTCATTTTAATATACAGTCTACGCTTTTGCTTCTAAAATGATTATATTGTGACCTGAATAATTACAATTAATGATCATTTAACTGAGTGATCTCTATTTCTGAAGGTCCTCATTTACCTTATTTAGACCAGTCCAAGTCCCTGATTGCTTTAGTCTGGCTAGAATTTCTGTCCGAATTTAAAATGCCTTGTTGCCGATCCATTTTGAGCTTTTTCTTAATAATATTTATGTTCTACTGACAGAAAAGAGTAACAGAAGCTGAACGGCAAAATGAAGAAATGGCCCAGGAAAAGCAGACATATTTAAAACAACTAGAAGAGGAAAGGACGAGCTCTCTGAAAAACGAAACACGGGTAAGCTGATTGCAATATATTGTTTTATTACTACTACAAACCTTTATTAGATATTAACAAACTGCGACTTTACATAGCTCAAAAAATTAGAAAAATCCAATGAGAAGTTGCAGCAAAGCAGAAAAAATACCCAAGAAGCACTGGCAAAGGTAAGCCATTTTTTGGATGTGAATATATAAATGTGTTTTGTAATAAAATGTTTAATATAATGACATTTTATTATTGTTGCAGACTACTGTTCTCCTGGACGAGGCAAAGATCCGTGAAGATGCCAGAAATGCCCAACAGAAAAGTTTAGAGAAAAATTACACAGCCCTAAAAGAAGAGAATAAATCTGTAAGACTTTAATTTTGTTTTTAGAGGTCCTATATTACGCAAAAATTGATTCTTGTGAGTTGTAAGCCATGTTATAATGCTGTTAGTGCCTCAAAAACAAACCTGGAGCTGTGTTTTGTTTAATTCACACATGCATTATTAGTCCGTCTACATCTGCAAAGCTCAAAATACGTCATGAAGCTTCAGTTTTCAAGTTTTTAGTTTTTAGTATTTAGTAGAGATTGGAAATTCCAGGGCTGAAATAATCCAAATTATTGTAGTAATGGTGTATGGGGTTTAAAAACACAGCTCCAGGTATGTTTTTGATGAGGAAACCACATTATAACATCAGAAAATAGAGTAATATGGGCTCTTTTTAAATATATTTTTGTCGTGTTGTCCGTATATTCATTTTGTTTCATGAATGTGGCATTGTTCACTTGCAGCTTAAGGCGACGATTAAAAGCTGGGAGGACAAGCACACTGAACTCAGTGAGAAGATTAAAGTTTACCAGAAATCCCAAAAGGAGCTTGAAGACTCTTTGGTGCTTAAAGATCACAATATAGAGGTTGGTAACTACTACTACATCCCTGTACTTTTCTTGAAATAGTAGTTATATGTTTTTAAATAATGTTGTTGTTTGTAGGTTTTGTCGGACCTCCTGTCAGACTTGGACGCGTGCGATATACAGAAAGGAGATAAAGTTTGCGCGAATGGAGAATTATCTATTGGTAAGCACAATATTTGTAATTAATAATGTTTTCGAGTTATTATTAGGGCTGTAGTTCTTCAGTTGTTCAATTGATTCATCGGTGAATGGAATCTTAAGCCCTATTTGTATGGGATAAGCACAACCCAGGGACGGCTGGTAATTTGCAAATTACGGCCACACCTCTGTGTTACTCACCACACTTTCACACGGGATAAGCAAAGTCCGTAAATGACTTTATTTTACAAACACTGACTGAGATTGAAACTATTTGCAGCAAGACAGCGGCTCTTTCTACAAGAGACATGCACAGTAGAGTGCGAAGTGACAGTGGTACAAGAGTAACAGTAGTACTAGATACTTACACACGAACCTAGAGCGGCCTCTCGCGGCTGTCAGTGTGAAAATTTTAATATATAAGTTGCACCGGAGTATAAATTGCAGGACCACCCAAACCATGAAAAAAAAAGTGTGACTTATAGTCTGAAAATACGGTATACAAGAATAAAACTACATGTGTTTATTTTTACATTGTCACAGATAAGACAACAGCCATAAAGAACAGAATAAAGCAGATGATGGATGTTTCAAGGGTAAGTCACCAACATTATAAAAATTATATAAACATGCTCATTTAGTTAATCTTGATTCTGATGGTCAAAATATTTGTATAGCGATTTGTTTAACTTAAAATCCTGTGTATATTTAGGTCCAGACCACTCTCACAGTTGTAGAAGAGGAACGAGACAGATTCATGTCCAAACTACTCACTGAAGAAAAGGCCAGAAAATCATTAGAAGGTTCGTTTAGATGTTTGATTTCAAAAGTTTTTAAAATGGATATGTCGCAATAACTGGAACATGTGGTGAACAGAGCAACACCGGGAGCTGGAGTACGCCATAGCCACCCTCAAAAGTGAGAAGAGCCTCGTGGAAAACCAGTACAAGGTTCTTCAACAGAAGAATGAAATCATAGTGGAGATGTACCAGCAGAAGGAGAGCGCTCTGCAACAGTAAGAAACACATGCAGTTCTTTTACGATATTTTACGAAGAAATGTGTGAAACCTAAACTTTGTAAATCTGAGGCAAAAGTGATATTTCGTTCTAAATGAGAATATAAAAATGTTATTTGGAAGAAACGTGTTACAGTTAAGAGTGTGTAATTTGATTGTCCCAAATCTGGACGATGTTTCCAGACTCTCCTGCAGACCTCTTCCCTTCAAACAGAAAGTAGGAAATTAATAATCACATTTTATCATGCTCTGAAAACTAAAAAATTCAACAAAGTGAATTTTAAATGGGGCGTCAAACTCTCACATTTTCATTTACTATTCTCTTGGCATTAAACTCCCACCTAGTTTTTATACATTACTACATACATTACTTACTTGCTGTCCATTTGAGTCTAGTCAACGTGAACAACAAATAGTTTATTTCACAATAACAAGTTCTGAAGTGCGATTCATAGCCAAAGAAATCTAAACGATAAGTGATAATACTGAAACAAATTTATGCCACCGACATCATCGCCCAAGTGAAGATTTAAACCACAAAAACTATTCTAAATCCACATTGTTAAAAAACATAAGCTGCAATAAATGAAGAGCAGAATGAAACACTTTCTTACATACCGTAGTTTGCATCTTTTAATGAGTCAAGTTATTCATTGTTCAACTCTTATAATATAACCAAAAAATAACAAAAAATCTGAGTAGTGTAAAGACAGCGTACACACGACCGTATTCACCTTTTCCCCTCTGGAGGGTGGTTTCAGATTTTTGCGTTTTTAAGCCCCAAAAACATCATCACCGTCTAAATGAAAGCACTTCCGATGAAATATTTAGTTGTTTTTACCCGCAAGCGTTCTCGTGTTAGACACAGCGAAATTCAGGCACCCCAAAAAAGTAAGTTGGACGAGGAAAAACAGAGTTGAAAGGTTTATTTAAATGGTCAAAACCTATTTCTGTTTCAATCATGACTGGTGTTCATCAGGGCTAAGTTAAAAATTAAAGCATGGGCGTGGCCTTTTAAAATACACACCAACCAACAGTAAGGACAGATGTTAATTAGAGATAGACATGGCAAAAAAAAGATAATATTAATACTTCTGAAAAAAATGTTAACAGCACAAATAATGAAAAAAGTTAAATTTATAAAGAACAAAATAAATCAAAGTCCTCATTCAGACCAGGAAGTTCACATGCTCATAATTTATGAATCCAGAAGGTTTCTCTTTGATTCAAGTCTTGAAGTCTATCTCGACCTCTTGCCAGTGTTTTCACAGGTTCAATACCTTAAATGTGAAGGTATTTTCACAAAAATGTCAAGCCATTGTAGAGTCCTAGTTCTTTACTCTGATTACATTGTGCTCACCTAAGCAATCTTTCATGCGCCTTTTAGTGCAGCCAATATAGAAAAAACATAATTTGATATAGTATTTATCATGGATACTTTCACTCAAGTGGCCTGGATGTCTGTTATATTCTAAACGTATTCTACTTTCTGTTTGTAAGCTGATACTACAAGAAAAAAGACTCTGCTACGGTAGATCATAAAGTCTAAGCGGTTTAGTAGCAACTATTTTGAAATGGTGCTGCAGCAGTTTTGTAAGAGCGTTTACACTGACAGGATACCACTAATATGATATGAGGCTTTAAAAACGAGGCTTAATTTGGACATATTGGGAGCACGCGGCCAGTTGATCAAAGACGCGTGTGTGTGTGTTTGCGTTCCCAGGAGACTGACTAAAGAGGAGATGGATCGGCGCAGTAAGGAGAGCATGCTGACGGAGGTGGGAGGGAAGGCCACCGAGGCAGAAGAGCAGGTCCGAGTGCTCCGACAGCGCATCAATGAGATGGAGGAGCAGATGAAGAAAACAGAAGAGATGTACAAGGAGCAGGTACTAAACAATGCGGAAAGGAAAGGAGCTCTACCAGATTTTTACAGTCTTAAAAACATGTGGATCAGGACGAATTTTTCTGTCCAAGCCTGGCCTGTGTCCGACAGAGCAGTGATCAAATCCAACCTGAGCCCGATAAGCATTAAGATATTTGTGTCCAAACTCGACACAATTAAAATCACATTATTTTCATAGGCCGACTAATGACACACGTAGGATATTGTCTGTGTTCCTCTAACGGACACAGAGACTCAAAATACAAACTCGGGATAGAGCGAAAATAATGAGAAGACTTTATCACTCACCTCTCGTAAAGATGGAAATTTAAAGTGCAGCATCTCATCCATATTATCCATAGAAATTGTCCTCTGCAAATAATGACATTTAGTCCACAAAACCGCGCTATTAATCCAGTTTGAAGCTTTTAAAGTGAAAAGGCGAGTAGTTCCACATGTGTGTTTACATCCACACAGCGCACGGATCGAAGTGAAGCTGCAAATTTGCGATAGTAACTCTTCTCCCTTTTTACTTTATTGCCAATCTTTTATTCTTTAAAAATCATGTATCTGTAATATTGCACCACATTTCACAAATAATAACACAGTTTTGACTTGTATCTAAACTAGAAGTGCAGAGCTCTGATCTTTTGAACACTTAAGAGTTTCAATGCGAGTTGTTTTAAATGCTGATGTGTCCGAGTCCGACCTGAGCCCGTTGGACTTCGGTTGGGTTTCCATGCTCTAGGTCCAACTTTATTCCTCACTGGCCTAAAGCATTCCGGGCATCCTAATTATTTACTGTGATGAGTTTATAATCTCTCTATACAACTGTCAGGGAACAAAGCAGAGTTTTGCTTTCACGATAATGCAAGACTAATGTCAACTAGCATTCTAATAGTGCACTTCCTGGTTCACAGATGATGAGAATGCCGTATAAATAGATATAGACAGTGCAAAATTCCAATGTGTCTGTACTGGAGCAAAACTAATATTGCTTTATTGCATGAAAAACTGTACAGTCCCTTTAAGACAAACATAAACAATAGATTTGACACATTTGTTTCTGTTTTGTAGATAAAAGAACAGGAAAACAAGACTCACTCAAACTGGGTAAGTGTCTTGATAAAAAAAAAAAAAAGAAAAAAGCACAAATTTAAATAACACAATTTGAATTACTTTTTGTTTTTTTGGTAGATAACTGCAAGAAATGCTGAACGGGCTCTCAACCAGGAGAAGGTGGAAGCATCAAAACTACGAGAAAAGTGAGTGGGACATAATTCTATCCAATAAATTAGGGCAAAAGTAGTTTCCAGTTTTATCAATATTTGTCAGAATAGTTGGGACAATGTTGTAGTTTACAGTTCCCTTTGTTAACAGAAGTTTTATTAGGAGTTTGGGCATGTTCAAATGAATAGTAGTGTATATATATGCTCTATGTATTTTTATAGTGGTGGGTCCGACACATATTTTATTGTTAGATTTGTTTACTTTGCCTAAAAAGTAAAACTGAAAGATTTGGAGAGGGGGAAATCTGTCCTTCTGATAAGCATTACGATTAGATTTGCTAATTATAGGGTTCTGTTCAAAGTTCACATTTTCAGCTTTCACCAGAGGAATTGGCAAAAAGACTGAAATAAGAACTGTAAAATCTAACACAATAATCACATTTGAGAACATGTTTGTACAGATCTAAACTACAGTGTTATCAGTTTTTACGTAGAATAAGACAGGAGATTTTGTTTGTGGAGGAAATAATGATACTTCAAAAATTTTACAGTTTTGCATAAACTATCAATAACATTTTTTTTTTCTGAATAAATGCATAGTGTAACAAAAAAATCATCTTTTCAATAAACATGATTTCAATATTGATCAAAATAATCATAATCATGATTTTTTCCATAATCGATTGCTGTGGGCAGGGTTGCCTCTCAAAGCTGATCTGTAACTTTGCATAGTGCTGTCACCTACTGGATGGATAAATATAGATTGATCATGCGGCATTTTAATTATACTTTATGTAAATGCTAAACCTTTATTTTTTCCTTTTAGATTGACACTACTCACAACACAGCTGAACGAAAAGCGCGCCCCTCTCTTCAGACCAAACTCGGGGCAGTTCGCTGGACCTCGTCAGGGTAAGAACTTTTATTACTCTATTTTCTGATCGATTTATAATACAGTTTCCTCATCACAAACAGACCTGGAGGTGTGTTTTTGTTTCATTCACACATGTTTAACACACAAACCCTGCGTATTTAGGCAGACTTCCACCTTCTGATATCATGTGGTAATACAAGAAGTGCTCCCCTAAACTCCATACACCTTCACTGGAATCATTTGGATCATTTTAGCCCTGGAATTGCCAATCTCTACTGAACTAAAGGTAAAAGGAGCTGTTAACTTGAAAACTATGACTACATGATATCATAAGGTGGTGTTTGATGAGGTAACTGCATTATAACATGGCTCAAAGCGTAAAATTTGGGTGATATTGGACCTTAAACGAAATTATTCCAGCATTATGTTTCTTTTCAAATGGTTTGCTCCCGGTAAAGCCCACACCGAGGACCTCCTTTGGCATGTTAAGTGCGAACTGCTTTGTGTGCTTTGTGTAAACTGGCTGGTTCTGGTTACGACAGGTGATTCCTACGGACCGTCTCCTGTGAGTGGGGGAGCACCGTCTCCTCCGATCATGATCGAGGGACCCAGGCGCCCTCCCTCCGCCCCGGTGGGTCGCAAAATAGACCAGTATGGTGAGTTCCGGGTCTTTCTTCACTGGCTGCTGGACCTCCTCCCTGATCCTCCCTGATCCAAGTCACTTCCTCTACTTCTTTAATTTCCTCTTGCATCCCTCTTTTCACTTCTTCTTCTTTTCAGATTTTTGTTTTAAGTTACGTCATGTTTTGTTGTAGCATCGCAGCCCGTCTTCACTGTATGTTCTCTTCTTCCTATGTTGTTCCTCTGTCCCTTTTTCTCTTTCACGGGTTGACACTATAATCTGTGGTTCCATTACAAAAAAAAAAAGACTATTGTTACATTTACTTTAGCATAATACGGTGTTTTTTGTGGTGTACAGGCCCCAGACCTCCGTCAGATCCACACGGACGTTACGCTGACAACAAGCACATGTCTGGAATGGGTATGTCACTTCATATTTTTTGTTTTGAGTTTAAAGGGGGGGTATTATGCTAAATTGACTTTTTGGAGCTTTTTACTGTGTTATAATGTTCTCTCATCAAAAACAAGCCTTAAGAGTTTTTATGTAGCTTATGTCACTTCAGAAACCTGATGTGATGTGCAGTGGTGTAGTCGGGATTTTTAAAAATGTTTTAAACAAGGACTGAACCAGGTCTAAATCAGGACTAAACCAGGTCTAAATTAGGGCTGAACCAGGATTGAACCAGGACTGAACCAGGACTGAACCAGGTCTAAACCAGGACTAAACCAGGACTAAACCAGGACTAAACCGGGTCTAAATTAGGACTAAACTAGGTCTAAATCAGGACTAAATCAGGAGTAAACTAGGACTAATCTTGGACTTGAGAGAGGGAGAACCCTGAGACCGTGGTGCAGAGTATCCGCAAAGCCGCGACTGGGCAATGGCTGCAGAGCTCTGCACCGGTCCTTTCGCCTGCAGTCACCCGACGGTCTATGCGGGTGCACCTCAGGGCCTCTCCCGACACTCAGTCCTGGTTCAGTCTTGGTTCAATCCTGGTCCCTCATGTCTCAGGTCACTATAGGACAGTAGTGCAGATATCATGAGCCTGTGCAGTTTGTTTTCACCATTGTCAGTAGCTCCAGTTTGACATTTAAGATGTAGCTATTTTATATTTGTTATTTTTTTCTCTCACGTCGGGAGAAGTGGGTGGATGACGTACCCCTGCATACCACGCCCACTACACCCCACACAGTAGTTTCATGGTGTTTTAAATATGTTATGTGTTAAATAATACCTCGTCTTTTAAACGATAAATACATATTCAGCTTTACTAGTACTCACCAAAATCATTTAGGCAAAACTGTAAAAGAAAATGTGAATCTGTATTACATGGTTACAGGAAATAACTTGGATGTTTTCTTATTTTAATCAGCAGTGCTTTTTAAATAAACCTTTTGTTGTCTGTTTTTCTTCTAGAGATGATGGGTCCTCGTAACTCCTCTCCTGCCAACGTGGACGCCCCTGTAAGTGCAGTGCTCCTCTTGTTCTTTAGCTCTTCTCTTCCTCTTCATTCACGTGTGTGTCCCTGCTCAGATAAAGGCTGAAGGGCCGGTTTCCTCTGAGAACCCAGAGCCTGTGAGTACTGCACGGCCTGAGTGAGCTGTGCACCAGGGCCCGCACTGGTGACCCCTGGTGGACAGAGTTGTCACTGCACAGTAACAGAATTGGGACTCTGGGACATTTCGCTTCACTTGATTTTGACTTAATGTTGGTTTGGAGTGTGGACAGGTCTCACTTATGGCACAACAGGGTTCAGATCTGCACTGTACTTCCTCAAAAGACAGAACTATTGTTACTTTTCATATTCACATCACGTTTGATCAGAATTATAAACGATTTCCCCTAAAACCTCTAGGTTTTATTGTGGTTCAACCGTGGTGTTGGTGGTTCATTCACAAACCACAGGCTTGGTGGTTCAAACCCTCCAAGTACTTCCTGTTTGAGAAAGTATAGTCATTTAACCCAATCAGAAAGTTTTGTGTGTTGGTCTTAACAGTGTGATTGTGCTGGTTCAGAATCACCTCGGGTCTGATACAGATGTGCAGATGTTGGTTTGGTCTGAATTGTTTGGTGTTGGTGTTTTTGTGCATGTGTCTCCTGAAACAGACTGTGCTCTTCAGTTTTGTTTTGTGAATCTGACACATGTTTGTGTTCAGGGCCTCGGCTCGTTCATCGCGTCTCCCATCAGAGACTCTCCAGGCCTCGTCCCAGGGCCTCCTCCTGGACCTGGGCCCCATGACCCCCTCCTCCCTCCAGGCCCTCCGGGTCCTCCAGGACGCCTGCCTCCTCCTGGAGCATACAGACCTATGCGTCCTGGGCCGTACCCCCCACCTGGGCCGGGCATGTACCCTCCCCATGGGCCGGGCATGCCACCTCCTCCCCACGGGCCTCCACTGCCAGCCAATGGACACCCAGGAATGCCAATGGGTGACTTTGGACCCCGTCCCTCTAATGGACATGCTTTTCAGCCCAGACCTGGTCCTGTCCACATGGACATGCGGGGCCCTCCTCCACCACACCTCCGTCCTCCTCCACACTACGGCCCTCTGCCTCCTCCACATGGTACGAGTCACACTGGACTCTTATTCAGTTTTCACATTTCCTAAATCGCATTAACTTTTTTGTTTGGTTTCTCTTGTGCAGTTCTACGAGGGCCCATGGGACCTCATCCACCCATCCACCCCGACATGCGCTACCCAGGGCCCCGGGCCAGCCCCCCCATGGACCTGCCCCCAGGAGCGCTCCCTCCAGGTGCCCATCCCCCTGGACCTCCTCCTCCAGGTGCTCTTCCTCCTGGAGTCCCTCCTCCAGGCTCCCACCCGCCGCACAGTGGCCCCCACAGGCAGCCCCCTCCTGAGTCCCTCCAAAACCCCGGTGCTCACAGTAAACCAGGACCAGAGAGTCCTGCGGATGCTCCGGGTGCAGATGGGATCGAGCCTTGACCTCACAGCCGGTCTGGCCCAGGACTGAATTCCCCTGAGCCCAAACCAAACAGCACATGTCAGTGTCACAGCCACAGGGTCAGACCCCAGAGCTCCTCTTCATCACACAGAGCCTCTCCTCTTCACACTGAGCCTGGTCAGAGCCACAGCAGAGCCACTGAGGGGCAGTGTTGTTCCCATGTGCACTAATAAACCTCTTCTGCTGTGTCTCTGCTAAAATCATTGTTTGACCTTCATTGGGCGACTCCCCTTTTATTTGCACCCGTCTTTAAAACCGTGCACATGAATTGACTGTACAATAATTTCACCGTTTGCGTTTGGACCTTGGCAGGATTAAGTCTGAAATAAAAGAGGGAACCCGCAGCTTCATGTGCAATAACCACTCATACACATTATTCTCATTTTATCTTTTAAATTGTATAGAACGTTAATTTTTAAGGGGCAGTTTTAATGTCATTTCCTGTGGAAATTATTTTTAAAGGGGATTTAGCTTGGAGCATTTCAGGAAAACCATACTTTCCAAACTTTGTTGCTTGAGAATGGACTGTAAACAAATGTGCAAATCGATGGCCAGATGTATAACTTATTTTACTATGTTGGTAGAAGTTTTAATAATAAAGAATGTAAAAGATCTCTGTCCCAACACATTTGTTATTCCTGAGTAAGACCAATGGTTTATTTGGATATTCGATGGTGCTCTGATTTTTCCAGTCTAAAAATTAACTAGTTTTGGATTTCACTTTAACAATTAGTGTCCTGAAGCTGTTTCTTACTCACCTTAAACATTCTGAGCATCCTAATTATTCAGTGATGAGTGTAGAAGCACTTTACACAACTCAGTAAAGCCAACAACTAGTATCCTAATGTGCACTTCCTGATTATGGGACAATAACTTTCTTTTTAATTAGATGCAATATACAAAAAACCTGGGTATAGTGCAGTTTTTACCAAATAATTTTAAATATTTTGCCAATTTAATCAGGCTTAGTCGTGCTTAACCAGACCATAAAAGATTTCAAAACTGACATTTGACATTTTTATTAGAAATTAATAGCATTGCAAATGTTATGAAATACAATTACTTCAGCCATTCAACAAAACGTGGTCTCCCTCCGTAGTGCTTCACAGATTACAATAATGTTTAATCATCCGTTTATGTATCTTACAGTTCATTTACAGTCAGAGTTGGGACAAAAACACAACGTAAATAATATTAAAATCAGGAGCATGAAAGAAGTCAACATGCAGTCACAAATAAAAGCCCTTCGTGTAGGGTCACATTTGGATTTCAAAATAAAGGTACAAGATTTTTGAAGGTCCTATATCACGCAAAATTGACTCTTGTGAGCTTTAAAACATGTTATAATGCTGTTACCTCGTCAAAAACAGACCTGGAGTTGTGTTTTATTATTAGTCTGTCATCTCAAAACGCTCTGCTCCACCTTGTGATGTCACAAAGCAGTAGTTTTCACAACTCCTTTTTGATTTATTTTGGGCAAGTAAGAAATGTACATTCTTTTACAACAAAACATACAACATTAATGAAATCATAGCAGAAATAACAACAAAAACATGAAATTAAATTAAAAACTGGCCCAAAAAGGAGTGGGAAGGAGAAAACTTATATTTAATCCCACCCTCTCTTTTTCTTTTTCTTTTTTTTTACCTTTAGCTCAGTAGAGATTGGCAATTCCAGGTCTGAAATCATCCAAATTATTGTAGTGAAGGTGTTTAGAGTTTAAAAACACTGTGAATGAAACAAAACACAACTCCAGGTCTGTTTGTGATGAAAAAAAAAACATTATAACCATAAAGCAGCGTAATATGGGGCCTTTAAGTAACTGCACACGTTGATAAAAAATAAACTCTGATTATGCTGTGATGGATGCAATAAATCCCAAATGGAGTTTTGATTGCGGTTGACTTTTGTGAGTTAAAATAATCACACGTTCTTTAGTATACATTATCAAAGTAAGTTTATTTATTATATATAGTGTTTTGGGTGAACTGAAATTGCTTGGTCATGAATGGTAAGCCTACTGTAGTGATTTTAACAGATGATTTAACATTTAAAACAGTAAAATATGTAACTATTAGGGATGTAACAATATCCAAATCTCTCGGTTTGATATCACGATATGCATCTCACGGTACGATATTTATTGCGATATTTTGGCTGATATAATTGTAGATACACTTTTTTGCGTTTAGAATACCTTGACAAGATTTTGGTGTGAATTATTTCCGTCATAATCCCAAGAATTCAAGTAAAAAACATTTCTGAAATGAATCATGGGATATGTAGTTCCCGATGTTTATAAGCTGTTGCTACTATAAAACCATGCATTTAAGCAAAGGAACTTGTAATTCGATGTTATTGTGAGACTTTTGACGATACGATGTCACAATATTTTGGTTATTGTTACATCCCTAATTCAAATCCAAAGTAATGCCAAATGTATGATCCCTACATTTGTCCGTTTTCATGTTGGCATCTTCACTTTTATTTAAAATTTGCTCAGTAATTTAGCGTTAAAACGACGGCGGTATGGGGAAAGCGGACAACAGAAGCACCATAAGTAGTAGTTTGGTCTCTTTATCCCTTTTCAGAGGCTTTTGCAGTGGTACATTCCAATCTTATACATTATTTTCTGTCATAAAATGTAAACCAGGTCAATAGTGTGTCCTCATTTCACACAATGTGCACAGAATGTTTTGATTATGAGTTTGTCGGCCTCTGTTGGTGGCAGTGAGAAGTGAACTGTGAACAAAATTCCTCTCTGAACCTGGACTGATATTAAAGGAACGATAGGCAGCCTGTGCTCTTACAGTAAAAAAAACTAAACTTCTACGATCACAACTAAACCTGTGTTGACTGATTCAGGATTAGCTGCAAGTAGTGTAGGTTTAGGAAGTGACCATCCTGCTCAGAGACATTTTAGGTCCAAACCAACTGGATTTCAGCGTTGAGAGACTCATGTGAGGCTCATTCCGTTTTCTGATTGGATAAACGTCTTACGCTTATGGCACAAACCAGGAAGACGTTTGGAAACATGCGATGACAACATGCTGATACGATACATATCTCAATACATAGGCCTCAATACAATACGTTTTTCCATATAGGGCACTTTCGATTCAATTCAATACGATATATTCCAAATCAATTTGGTTCAGTCAAAAACAAAGGCTAAAATCGTTGCTGTGATATTAAAAGTCTTAATTAAACCACTAAGTTTGTACAAAGTGAATATAAAAAATGTCAATTTTACTCAAAACAGTAAGTATGTCTAATGTACTGCATAAACCACTTTCCTTTCTCCAAACATGAAACACAACTGTAGCTCTTTCACAAAATAATTTAGTAAAATATACCGATATATCGATGCAGTAGCCCGAGCTATCGATACAGTATCATGAAATTAAATAACGCGATATATCAACATTTTAATATTTTTGCACACTCCTAATTACAACCATACCCCGGTTTTCATCATTTCCTCACTGACGCACAACTCCGAGCGCACTGGGTACATGCAATTAGAAGAGACGAAGACGACAGATTCATGATGATTCCAAACGGGTTCATTTTTGGAGACCCGCACCCGTCCACGCAGTTCAGCACCAACCCATGATTATATCAAAGTTAAACCCGCAGCTGCCCGCACCCGTTAACATTCCACCTGTTACCCGGCCGTGACCGAGATAAATCGCACACAAATTAAAATCACTCTAACTGAAGCATCCATCAGAATAAAAATTGAAAATTTACGACTTGAAATGAAGCGGATACGCTTTCTTCAGTACGAATACAAATTCACAGACGTGACTCGACTGTCATCACTTCACAGGCTGTAGCAGAAGAAACACTTTTGCGCCGCACATGCCACAGACTGAACCAGGTCTGAACCAGGTCTGAACCAGGTCTAAACCAGGTCTAAACCAGGTCTAAACCAGGACTGATTCCAGGACTGAACCAGGACTGATTCCAGGACTGATTCCAGGACTGATTCCAGGACTGATTCCAGGACTGAACCAGGACTGAACCAGGACTAAACCAGGACTAAACCAGGACTAAACCAGGACTAAACCAGGACTTATTGTCGGGATGGGCTCTGAGGTGCACTGATGCAGACCGTCGGGTGACCGCAGATGAAAGGATGAGCGCAGAGATCCGACAGCCCAATCACACTTTGTGGACGCCATGCTCCTTGGGCTCTGGGTTCTCCCTCTCAAGTCCAAGTCCTAGTGTAGCCCTGGTTTAGTCCTGATGTAGTTCTGACCCACCCGTGTGTAATCACTACCCCCCGTAAAACTCCAGAATGTTAAAACTCGGTGCAGGACTCTGCTCCAAACAGCACATACATATTCAGTCTTCATTTTACCTCTGATCACATTTCCTTCAGTGGATTTTATCAGTCGGTCGGCGAGCCCAGAGTCGGGAACTACTGTACACCGAAAGTCGTCATCGCATGTTTCCAAACATCTTCCTGGTTTGTGACGCAAGTGTGAATAGTGCATATTATAACAAAAACAAATTGTCCATCATGTCCAAAATTTGTGTAATTAAGAATAAGTCATTATAATAGTAAAAGCTCCATTTGATTTGAACATTTCTACGTCGTATCTGGGAACACAGATCGGTCATGTTAATTGATTTTTAAAAACAAAATATTACATACAGTTCCTTAAACACTTAAAAAATCTGCCACTTTGTATTTTTATGCCACTTATGATTTAAATACCAGATTTAAACCACTGTCATAAAAGGGCTTAACTTGTCTTTTTTTTTTGTTAGTTATTATTTCTTTAGAATATATTGTATAGTTAATGCTTAAATTCTGTCCCTACATGACCCGGCTACTCCAAGTGTTCGAACGTTAATGATTAATCCAGCTAAACTCCAACAAAACACAGATTAAGCAAAAAACGTGACTCAAAAGCACCTCTAATGTTTCATCAGGTAGAGCTGAGGAAGACTGGTGAAGAAGCCAATACTTCAGATCCTTCTTGCAACAGAAGGGATGTACTACGACGCGATATGAACTAAATACAAAAGTGTTTGGCAGAGAACTTTGTGTTGGAGATATGATCTCTTTGTTAGAAGTGTCCTTTTGGTATTGCTGAGGTGTGGAGGTGATGGGAGTAGAACCTAGCTGTCCTTGTGCAGGGTCTGGTGCAGGTGCAGGTACAGGGGCTTCTTGGTTAACAGCTGCAGTTTCTTCCTCTTGAAGTCTGTGGGCTTCTTGTACCTACAACCAGAGGGGCAAAAAGTACTTAATTTTGTGACTTAAGTAAAAGTACAGATAGAAAAATAGCCGAAATATCGTGATATCGTATCGTCAAAAGTCTCACAATAATATAAAATTACAAGTTCCTTTGCTTAAATGCATTGTTTTATAGTAGCACCATCTTATAAACATTGGGAACTACATATCCCATGATTCATTTCAGTGCAAACAACATGAAGATATATGTTTTTTACTTGAATTCTTGGGATTATGACAGTAATAATTCATACCGTATTCTTGTCAGGGTATTTTAAAAGCAAAATAGCGTCCTATCTACAATTATATCAGTCTCTCCAAAATATTGCAATAAATATCGTACAGTGAGATGCATATCGTGATAATATTGTATTGAGAGATTTGGATATCGTTACATCCCTAAAAAACAGTCAAGTAAAAGTAAAAGTGTCACATGAAAAAAATCAACTTAAGTAAAAATATTAAAGTTCCCATTTGAAGACTGATTTTCATCAAGTCTCAAACTATGATAAAAAAAATACTTTTACTTTTCAGTCCTGTTCAAAAATGTAGTGGAGTAGAAAGTAAGGACACCTGTCCTCAAATGTACTGAAGTAAAAGTAAAAAATATTCACTTTAAAATGTAATTAAGTAAAGTACAGATACCTAAAAAGTACAGTACTTTACTACTTTTACTTTGTTACCTTCCACCACAGTGTACAACACAGTAACAGGTCGACAAGAAAAACTGGAAAATGTGGCATTTATAATGCTTCAGAAAAAAAAATAAATAATAATAATAATTAATTAAATATGAAAAATGTAATTTTAAAAATCTATAAATAAAAAATAAAAAATAAATAAATAAAAGCTATAGAAGGAAATATTCAAAAAAAAAATGCTAAAAGTTTTATGTTCATGAATCACCTACATAATTACACTACATCAAACTTCTAAAAGGTCTAAAGTGTAGGTTTATCCAATGTGGCCCTGTTGCATTGATTCAAATAATTACAGGTGGTACTTTTTACTACAAAATGAAGTAAACCATTGTATATATTGTGATACAAACCTAAAATTCTGGTGTAATCTCTATTAAAGTACCTATGACAGGTTAGACTACACATTTGACTAAAACACAGTTAAGATAATTAGATTTAAGATCTTTATATTATAAAAAAAACCAAACAAAAAAAAAAAAAAAAACATTTTTTAGGTTTCAAATTTTTTTTAGGTTTCAAATTTTACCTCATGGTTGGAAATTATGACATCACCTTAGGAAATTCAGTAATCATGCAATATTCTGGTCCAAAACTCCACTAATGTACACAGACATTATTATTTGACAAATAAAAATGTAAGAAAATGCTTTTATTTTGTTGAAATAATGTTTAAAGTGTAAATTGTGCCAAACTTTTGGACATAATTATTCCTACAAAAATGTCTCTACTTGTAATTGTAAAATACTTCTCAGCTTTTCTTTACAAATTGCTTCCCCAACAAATAACATCAAATTAGAGAATTGTCAAAACCCGTCACACGCACTTTAAAGACACAGTGGCTCCGTTATCCGTCTGAACGACTCACAGTGTTAACCTCCAGTTTGTGGCCGTTCGCTTGGAAAATGTTATGTCCTTGGAGAAAAATGTTTGGACCCTCCCTTCTTTATGCCGTCAATCTTTACAAAACAATACAAAATCCATGCACTTACAGTTCAATGACGATTGGACCTGGCTTGATCTCGTCCATTTCCATGAAGGCAAAACATTTTGTGCTGGTGAACCTCTTTTTAGGTTTGTAGTGCTTGAATTCAAAGAAGATAGCTGCACCTGGACAAAAATTCAATGAGAAATATTACCAAACACTTAGAAAAAAACAGAAATTGTACTGTAAATTGTAACGCACTAAAATGAAGCAATGAATAATATTATTTAGATTCTTGAATGTCACTTGTTTTCATCAGTAGTGCCACAGACTGATGTGTTGAGAGCGTTTTACCTTTAGGGAGTTTCTCCACGTGTCTCTGCACCTCCACGTCAATATTAAAGTGGATATAAGTGTCCTCTTTTCTGGAAGCGACCGGAGTGTCCTGCGCAGGGTTCACATCCACACCGTTCACATCTACAAGCACACAGAAACACAAATATGTATGCAGAAATATTCAAAAGGAAATGCCACAATTGTTGAGCCTGGTTATTTTTATATCTGGCAAGTAGGGGTGTGCAAAAATATTGAAATATGGATATATCGTATCGTTTAATGTGATGATACAGCAGCCCACGATATCAATACTGTATCAATATATCGCCAAAAGTATTTTTTGGTATATTTTAATACATTTTTTTGTTACAGTGCTACAGTTTTGTTGCTTGTTTAGAGGAAGGAAACTTGTTTTGATTGACTGTTTTGATGATTAAAATGTTTCACAAGTTGCACAAGTGTCACAGCCATGATTTAGCCATTATTTTTTATTGAACCGTATCAAAACAATTTGAAATATATCGTATTAAATCATATCGAATCATAAGCTCACTGTATCGTGATCTGTATCGTGGCCTACGTATTGAGGTACAAATCGTATTGGCAACTTCTGAATTATACCCAGCTCTAATGGTAAGTAGGGTTGTCAAAAGTATAGAAAATCAGATACTAATTGATACTAAAACTAGTATCGAAACTACATACTTATTTGAGCAGGTATCGATACTAAAAAAGTCACATTCACAGGACAGAAATTAACCTTTTCTGAATAGCTTTAAAATGATCTTGATGATGAATGATCTAACTACATGTATCTCTACTAGGGTTGTGCAAAAATATTTAAATATCAATATATTGTATCGTTTAATGTGATGATACAGTATCAATATCGTGGACTGCTGTATCGATATATCGGCAAGAGTATTTTTTTGGCATATGTTACTAAATTATTTTGTTACAGCGCTACAGTTTTGTTGCTTGTTTAGAGGAAGGAAACTTATTTTTGTGAGAAATTTGACATTTTCACAGTTCTGATGTTTGTGTTTCATATTAACTTTGCACAAGAAGTGGTTTAACAAAAACTTTTAGTATCACAGCCATGATTTAGCCATTATTTTTTATTGAATCGTATCAAATCGATTTGAAATATATCGTACTGAACCGAAAGCTCACTGTATCGAGGTATGTATCGTATCGTATGGTCCTGTTTACGTGTTTGATTTTCAACCAAAACGGTGAAAAACGCGAATAACCGAAAAAACTTTAAGTGTAATTTTTATGTGTGAGATACTTGTTTAAGAGCATAAATCAGTTCACCTGTTGTAGTTCCAGCTAAGTCAGTTCTTTACGGTCAGATTAGGTTAAAATAAAACGAAGATATAATCGTCTAATCAGTCTAATAAAACCTTAGACAAGGTAAAGTATTATAAAGGAAGCACAAAGTATAAATAACAGACTGTGACAGAGATGACGTCGCTCGGCTGTACCTTTGACGCTGATGGTTATGTACGGATCGATGCACTGGCCGGCGTCCTTCAAGCCGATCTTTTCGATCTTTATGGTGAGGAGGGTCATCCCAGGCTCCGATGGTAACCGTGGCAACAGAGTACCTGCAACGGCCAAAGATACACATAATGGTCTTATTTCGCTTCACAAGTACTATTAATAGACACAAGGATATTTTTAGAAAGTACTTCATATCTTTATACTTTATAATACAGCCTGTACTACACTGCATCATTATCTGTGCTGCTCCTCATGTTGGTCTAGACATCCAGATAATTAAACATATGGCAAGATAGAGTACTTTTCCACTAAAACACAGTTAAGATGATTAGATTTAAGATTTTACTAATAAATAAATAAATAAATAAATAAAATTCTCGTTTAGCTTTGTTCTTTGTTTGTTCTCTTTGGTTTTTTTTGTTAAAAATTTTACCTCTTGGTTGGAAATCATGATATCACCCCAGGAAATTCCATAATCATCCAATACACTGGTCCAAAACTCCACTTGTTGTTTTTTAGATTTTTTTTTTTTAAATGCACAGCAATAATGTTCAATTTTTAATGTATTCATAAGGTGGAGCTTTAATATAAGCCCCTTTTAGGTTTTTTGCCTTTTCCAACACCTACTTTTTTATTTAGTGTTTTTTTTTGTTTTGTTTGTTTTTTTAGTTATTATTATGTTATTTTATTGTTATACTTTTTTATATGATTTTTTTATACATGCAAAATACATTTATTTATTTATTTAAAATATTTATTTAAAAAAAGCTTCAATTCTGGATAAGTTTGTTATTTTATTTTAATTCCTGTCCAAATAATTTCCCTTGTGGATCAATAAAATTTGTCTAAGTCTAAGTCTGTTTGGACACGGGCAGTAGATATGACATACTGTACGCAGAGATGATTCCATAAGAGATGAGTCCATAATGTTAACACAACTTGCTTTGAACGTGCACAAAAGTTATGACTGGATTAATGAAAATACATTATTAGAAAAATGCCTTTCATGCACTCAAACTGCTGCTGGAGTTTTCCGTGTTGATAACTATGATAAATATTTAACAAAGATACAGAGTCATATCTAGAAAACATAAAAACCCGTCATATGTACTTTCATAAAACAGACATGGCGTGAGGTGGGTTACCAGGGGCGCGTGGAGAAAACGTGTCTGTGGAGCCATGTCCCGCTGCTGCGTCGTCCTCCTCCAGCTCCAAGTTTTCCTCTTCTCCAGGAGCCAAGATTTTACTGAAAACACAACACAGTTCAGCTTCACACTTTACACGCAACTACAATGTGAAAATATAAAGCAATAACACTCCTCATTACTGGTGGTGTGAGTGAGTATTTTTTGGTACGTTTTGTGACAGTTTTGTTGCTTACATATTCATGGTTTTAAAAATAGATGAATTTCATATTAACTTTGCACAAGTAGTGGTTTAACAAAGAAATATTGTTGCTAAAATGTATTTGCTTCTTAAAAAAACAGCAAAAACCTATATCACAGAGTATCACGTGCAATTAAGGGTGTGCAAAAATATCGAAATATCAATATATCGTATCATTTAATGTGATGATACAGTATCGATATGTCGTCAAGAGAATTTTTTGGTCTATTTTACTAAATTATTTTGTTTCAGTGCTACAGTTTTGTTGCTTGTTTAGTGAAAGGAAACTCGTTTATTCAGCACATTTGACATTTTCACTGTTTTGATGATTAAAATGTTCATGTTTCATATTAATTTTGCACAATTCGTGGTTTAACAAAGACGTTTAGTATCGCCGTTGTGATTTAGCCTTTATTTTTTATTGACCATATCGAATTTATTTGAAATATATCGTATCGAATCAAATTGAAAGCTCACTGTATTGACGTATCAATTGTATCGTGGCCTATGTATCGGCAACTTCTTGACGATACCCAGTCCTACATGCAATATATCGATTATCACATGTATCGCCATATTGTGATAATATCGTGAGCCATGTCTCGAGAATCGTATCGAATCATCAGGGACGATTCCCAGCCCTACTCAAAATAATCAAAAAACATGAACTTTTTACAACTTAAAATATTATTCATGTGATTTTTTTGTGTTTTGTGCCACTAAAATGTGAATTTCCTACATCTACATATCCCAAAAATCTGTGTAGTCACCAGAATTTTCACCAAAGCTAAAAAGAACCCAGTCATACTTAATCAGAATCAACATTTATGACATTGCTGTTTACTTTTTCTTTTAAAATGTTATATATATTTTTGGATTTTTCATGACTAAAGTTAATTAAAGGCATACTTACCGAGATGGCACAGGCTGCACGTCGAAGGGAAACTCTTTGTTGAAGGTTAAGATATTTGTAATAACTGAAAAAGAAACCACATTAATAAGAAAAACATTTATTTGTGTTTATTTACAGTTTAATTTTGCAAACGTACTATTTTCCAATTTCTTCAAATCCTCCAGTTTGAACTCCTCCTTCGTCTGCGTACTGCACTACAATAGAAGACAAAGTTTTTAGTTACAGTTTATAGTATTTACACAAGTTTCTGAAAAAAATGACACTAAGTTAAGCTATTTGTTTAACCAGGAAGGGGATTTTTATTTTATTCTTTCCTTTATTTTATTCTTTCCTTATAAACAAACATTAAGTAAATTCCCTTTATCCAGGAAGTTCCTCAAAGGTTAATATTTAGCAAAAGCTGAAACAAATCTTATCTGTTGTCAAACTTTTTTATCGGAATTGTCAACAGTTTACTGAGACCAGAAGTGTAATGAAATTTTGGTCATTTAAGCCACAACATAACTTAAATTTAAATCTAAACAAGCAAATTTAAAAGTGCAGTATGTAACTTTCTGAAGGTGGCATGTCAACTTCAGAAATATAAATTTAAAAACCAAACTTCGGAACATTCTCCATGGACATAGAGAAGTTTTATGCCATATTGTGAAACATTTCAGCCAAGGGAACTGCATTTCCATGGTAACGAACAGGAAGAGGTCAAGTAAGAGTCAGGTTTGTGGAGATGCAAGTCTGCTCACAGTAAAGACGCACGTTTTTCAGCGCAATGAAAACTACCAAATTGAAAAAAAACAACATGATTTTACTTTTGTCCATTTCTGTGTTGCAAAGTTACATACTGTGGCTTTAAAAAGTAGCAAAAGGATAACAAAATGAACAGTAAATGTCTGTATTTTCAGGCATACACCAACCTGTAAACTGGCACTTCTCATTTCCAGACATGTTGCAATTTTCCCCAAATTTTTCTACAAAAACAAAACAAAAACACCTTAATAATTTGATCATTTTATAATTGACAAATAGTTCGGCACACTGCACTGTTTATAAAGTTATTAATTCAGCTATTAAAAACTGTTACCTTCTGTTCTTCATTGAAATCTGTTGAATTAGTGGCTTGGACCTCTTTCTGCAGTTGTCTTGCCAAGCTAAAAAAAAAAAAAAAAAAGAAAAAAAAAAGATGACATTTTAAAAACAAGTCAAAAACTACAACAATGGTGTGTACTCCCCCTTGCGTCCAAACTTAAAATGACAATAGGTGCACATTTGGAGTCATAAACCTTATAAGAAACTATACATTAGACTAGACTAGAGTCCAGTTTGACACAATGGTGAGGACAGTGGTCTAGTATGAGAGCAGCATTCTTGGGCCAGCTGAAAAACCCACCCATAACATCAGGAGGGTGTGGCGGACTATTTCTCAATCCTCACAGGAATATTGGCCTTATTGAGCTCTGCATGACACACAGAACACACCACATAACTCCAGTGTCCACGTCCACGGAGGAGGTTTCCCGTGTCAGGCCCCGGAGCCGCTCAAACAAGAGCCCAAAGAGTGTGCACAGGGATGGGCTGCAGCGCTTGGTACACACGCTCCTCTATGCGGTCATTGCCACATCACGTCATGGATGCGCAGGCTTTATTTACTGACACACACTTGAGAAGCCAACTTGTTCTGTGGAAACATGCAGCTCATCTCTAAAACACTCTCACATGAGGGACAGAGCAGAAGAGAAGCGCTGCTCAGGGCGTAGCAGCCGTGCGTAAAGGACGGCACACATGTTGAACATCACTTACATTTGATACTCATCTATAGCCTCCACTAACTGTCCCCACGAGTCAAAGTCCGTGGCTTTTCGGAAACTGGCGTGCCATTTCTGGACAGTCTTGTTGACATCAGACATTTTGGCGGGCGGCGGGTGGCACGCGGGGCTCCGGGCGCTCTCAGGGCATCGCCACGTTTGTGGTCAGTCACAGCGGACTCCAGAGGCAGCGACGGCCGCAGCGGTGGCCAGGATCTCCCTCACACACACACTCACACACACAGCCCGGTGACACCCAAAGCCCCACTACAGCTCTGCACCGAAGGACGCATCCGCAAGAAGAGGAAGTCCCGCCCGGAGCCAGAGCATGAGCCAGAGGTGCGCACGGTTTAGTGCTCGGCCTCGCCCGGGAGCAGCGCTTTGGCACCGCGACGGGAGGAGGCGGGGGCTGGAGGAGAGCCTGGGAGATGGGAGAGCCAAATGAGGACCTCTGGAAGCAAGAGTTAGATTAGGAAAGGCTGTTTTAACATTATTATAAACCAAAAATTCTCCAATATTATTATAAAAATGTTAAAGCTTCCCCTATGCGTCCAATTTATCCTTTCTCTTTCTAGTCCCAGATATGAGCTATGCATTTATTTTTAACGGCCTGCTTATTTTTTTTATTTTATTCACTTATTTTTAGATTTAGGAAATATTTAATTTATTATGAATGCATTTGCTCATATATGTGAGTGCGTTTTTGTTTTTTTTTTTAATTACTGTATTATAATTATAAAGTATGTTGCTTAGTATATACATAAGCACATACACACAATAAAATAAATTAAAATAAAATTCGTACATTCGTTTAATTTGACTAAAACGGTGTCTTTTGGGACCGGAAGTGATCGTCCCAACACTTCCGGTTACAGTTTTTTCTTCAACAACAAAGCAAAAAGTTGATATTTTTTACGATGAAATCGCTGCAGATGTGAGTCAAAATGGAAAGTGCATGCACAGAAGCTGCAGGGTCCGAAGAGGAGGACACGGATGTCTTCTGTCTGATGAGAATGGGCAAAAATGCAGATTGGCTCCGACTGTTCGCAAACACAGAGGTGCAGTGAGCTAATGATGCTAAGTGGCTCTGTATTTCTACTCCTATGATGCAAACATATTATATTATTTATGACAAATTTTTCATTCTAGTCAATTAATATTTACTGTAATAGTAATTAGTAATACCAATGTTTTGTTGTCATGGATTACTAATTATTTACTAGTATCAGTTATTAGTAGTTACAGTATTATAAACTCCTTTCAATTTCAGGCCATTTTATGTTAAATTGCTTTTGCTCTGACCTTTCCAAACTAAAATGATAACCATTATTGAACCCTCAGTTGCATATACACTAGTTTGTTTGTTTTTTGCATGGTAACACCCAATAGTTTTACCCACAGGTGTCAGAATCAGTGTTAAGTATGTCTGGTAAGTATTTATACACTTTGGAACACGCATAAAAAGATTTTCTTATCCTTGCCGACATTTTTTCTGTTAAAATTAAGGTGTAGAAAGCTGCAGAAATACCCTGTCTTTTAATTGAAAACAATGTTGACCTCCCACATTTCAAATTTGATGAGAATATCTGTAAAAATGAGAATTTTAGACTACTTTTATTGTTAGTATATCCAGGCGTTTTTTCTTTATCCAAACGTATTCAAATGGAGACAAAAAATGCAATAACCTTTGAATGCTTCAGCCCACAAACATCAATGAGGGCTCTACTGAAAGCTTATATACTTAGAGGAATCTTTATCTATACACCAAGCTGCTCTATTCTTTATGAAAATATCAGATTAAAGGTGAACTGTGTAACTTTTCTGTGTCTGTGGAGATGCTTTTGCTTTCCTTGTTCCACATTAAAGCATTAAAATGAGCTCCTATCAGGGCAAGTTACAGGTCAGATCTGTGGAGATGTAGAGGTATTTTTATTAGCAACTGTAATTGAATAAATACAAGATAGAGAGTTTAATGCCGTATGGAACGTCCCAGGCAAAGCAATGACATCTTCACAGAGGTTGCAGACCAGAATATGTACAGTATAGCTTTAATCTGTTTTTGATCATGCAGGTCACCATTGGACGCGGGGCAGACGTTACGTACCAGCTTTTGTCTCCAAGCTGTCCTCTGATGATCTCTAGACTGCATTGTACTTTCAAACAGCGAGAAGATGGACAGTGGACAGTGACAGACAAAAAGGTGAACTTGTACTTGTTGCTTATAGACTTGATTTCACAATGATAATTAAAAACGCTCCTTATTTAGAACATCAACATTAAATCATACTTTCTTTTATATTACCATGTAGTTTTACTGTTTATCTGTGTACTCCTTCAGTTGTCCAGGTAGGTTCCTTCACAGTCCATGGGCGTGTACTAGTGTATGTGCTCTTATACTAATCAGGAAAGGTTCATTTCTGTCCTGGGAATGTGTTTTTTTAGCATTGATACCTGCTTAAATGAGTATCTAGTTTCAATACTAGTTTTAATATCTGATTTTCAATACTTTTGACATCCCCAGTATGAGTATAAATTAAAAATGTACACAAAAAGTACAACTCAAGGAGCTAGAGTATGGAACTGCTTAGTAGCTTATTTAAATTTGTAAACAAATAGCTGCAAATTTACTATTAGATTAAAATTATTGTATGTTTCTAACTACAATGCCTACTCCTAACTGATAATGTTGTATTTGTCTTATTTTTTTTATTTGATTATTTGATTTTTTTATTTGTTTATTTATCAGGGACAATGCACATAAAAACATTGACCTACACAAAGAGGTCATATGTTTGTGCTCGGTTATAACAAAATTGCTCATTTCCATCTTTAGTCCCTGGTAGGGGTGTACAGAAATATTGAAATATCGATATATCGTATCATTTAATGTGATGATACAGTATCGATATTGTATGCTGATGTATCGATATCGCCAAGAGTATTTTTTGGCATATTTTACTAAATTATTTTGTTACAGTGCTACAATTTTGTTGCTTGTTTAGTGGAAGGAAACTCGTTTATTTGACATTTTCACTGTTTTGATCATTAAAATGTTTGTGTTTCATATTAACTTTGAACAAGACGTGGTTTAACAAAGACGTTTAGTATTGCAGCCATGATTTAGCCTTTATTTTTTATTGACCATATTGAATCGATTTGAAATATATTGTATCGAATCAAAAGTATCAAGATATGTACCGTATCGTGGCCTATGTATCGAGGTATGTATCTTATGGGAAACTGCTTAATGATTCCCAGCCCTAGTCCCTGGACAGGTTTATTTACTTAGGTGCCAATAAAATAAAACAAAATATATATTAATGCAATCATTTATACAGTCAATCAATAAGTGAAACTAGTTCCATTCAGTGTCAGTCATTACATTTAGCCACTATTTACATATTTACAGTTCATATTGCTGCATTGATACAGGCAGGGCAGATTAATGTGTACAGGTTTGATTGGTTAAAATCCATAGTTTGGCCAGGCGTGTGTTTTGTCTGTTTTTCTGCATGTATTTTCTATGGACTGGAGATGTTAAAAACGAGCATAAACACTCAAAACAATGCATCTGACTTGCTCAATGTGATTGTGATGTCCTTAATAAAAGTACAAACTAACCCAAAACTACTGTGTGTTTTCCTCAGAGCCTGAATGGAGTGTGGGTGAACAATTGCCGAATAGCTGCTGAAAAGGCCCACCTGATCACGCCCGGAGACTCTATCCAGCTCGGCGTCGCTGTTAGCGGGAGCGCTGTAGAGTTTGACTACACTTTAGTTCATAGACCTCTAAAAGACATTAACTCTTTCCTGGCAAAACCACACAGGGATACAGGGACTAAACCTACTCACATATTTAAAAAGCCCAAGAGGAAAATGACAGAAGAGATGGAGCCTTCTACGTCTTCCAAGCCCAAATTGTATCGCTGTTCTGGGACAGATAAGTCTACAGCGCATTCCTGCCCGCTTCCTCCAACAGAACCGCAACAGCAGTGCCAAAACGCAAAAATCACTGATGTCAAAGCAGAGGAGTCACCAGGGGATATGGACAACTTACAAATGTAGGTTTTTACTCTGGGGTTCATAACTTAAAGGTGCAGTCTGTAATTTGTTTTTGACAGAGAGTCCCTCACTTTTTGCCTTTGTGGAAATGTTTTCGCTTTGCCTAGAATGTTCAACAGTATGGGAATAATATTATCTTCTTGCATTTTAGTTACACTTGTTTAAAAATACCTTGAAAAACATGCATTTTTATAGTGAGCGTGATCGCCTCTCCTCAGACTTAGGGATACACCAGTCCAGTATTGGTATTGGATATCGGCACAGTCATGAAATAAACGCTGGATTGGATATCAGCTTCCAAATATTGGTTCAGTTGGACATATAAATTATGTAATAAGACTATTTACTGGTCGTAGTTAGTCCAGAAAATCTCATAATGTTTAACTTTTTTTAAGCAAATTACTTCTGTAGTTACTTGAGGGATAATTGACAGCTCCATAACACATTTGGATCAGTTTGGTCTTATTTTAGTTTAGTTTAAAGGAAATAATTGCTGTTTTTAGTCACTGGTATCAGTTAATATCAGGTATTTGCAGATAATTAAAGCTATACTGTCAAAATCTGTATCAGCACTGGTGGACCCCCAATCTGAAAAGGAATATAATGTAGCTTTAACTATCTTTTTCTTGTTTTTAAATTCTAAAATACTTTGCTGCACCATTTATTGATTGTCTTTATAAAGTATAAGACATGCATTTTAATAATTATATGTAAATAAATGTATAACAATCTAACATGCAACTTTTATGAATACACAATTATAAATTTCACTCACTATTTTAGAACGAATCTTAAGTTTCAAGTATGTTAATGACCACTATTTTGTCCTTACAGGTACAGCCAGAACATCCTGATGCTGAGGGAGCAGGTGGACAGCACGGAGAGGCAGGTGGCGTCACTGGAGGGTCAGCCCAGACAGAGCGCCTCCTTCAGGGAGGAGCAGGTCCGAGAGCTGCAGAGTCAACTGGAGACACTCCGAGCCAAAATGGACAAGATGAAAACTCTTGAGAAATCTTTTAATGAAGCTAAAAGGCAGTTGGAGGTAAGACAAGTGTATAATTCAAAGCATGTAAAGGGCCTGTACCAGATCTGAGCTGTGAGCTAATGTGTCTTGCACCAGCATAGATATAGTGTATAAGAAGCTCTTGAGGTCAGAATAACTCTGCTGTGTACTGGTAGCATCTAATTATAACACATTTTATGATCTGAGAATCTGGAAGTGCGTAGTTAGCTTTACCGGGACTGCGAGACTTGTGAAAAGTACTTTCAGACTTATTGCATTGAATAAATAAGACTCTCAGAAAGCACAAGATCAGTGTGCAAAATAGGGGAGGTGCGGGGGATTCGACCCCTCCCCCCGATTAACCCATCACACCCCCTAAAATTTTGAGGGGGCTCAAATATTGTTAAAAAAATTGTCCAGACGCCATCCCATATGGACCTGGACAGGGTCAGCCCGATGTTCCTGATGTTCCTAAAATTGCGAAAAATATCTATGCTCCCCTTTAACACCACTGGCCGTTCTCATCTCAAGTTGTCACCATGAAGTCATAAAACAGCAGCATGTAGAACTAACATCACTCCCCACACCTAACACCTAACATCACTCCCTGCTCCAACTCATGTGAGCACTGCCTGAATCAGAGCTGCTCCCGCTGGGTCAGGACTCTGGTTTGGATCTAGTCCAACTGTAGTATTTCTCACACGAGGCCTAATGCAGTTCATTTTATAAGTTGAATCAATTAAATAGGGCCTATTCAGTTTAGGCTGTCTGTGGAATCCACCGTGTGTCTTTTTCTTTTTTCACATTTGAGTCTGTATCGCTCAACAATTCGCAGATGGGGACCACCCAAATATTGACGGGTATTTCGCACACTGCAAAAGATAATAACTTTGGACCACTGCAAACAATTTTTAACGAACTAGTTTTGATTTGGATGTGTTGGTTGAAAAAGTATATATACGGTAATTCATTAACTCTTTACTTTAAGGACCAAAAAACGCAGCAACAAGAAGAACATCTGAAAAAGCAGCTAGAAGACGCATTACAGGAGGTAAGTGTGAACATTGTGGTAAACATTTGGTAAAAGTACAAACAATATATGGATTTCTGTTTGTTTTTTAGCAAAAGAAAGTGATAGATGAACTTGCCATGTCCCGGCAAGGCTTTGAGGAGATGCTTCTTGCCAAAAATAAAGAACTGGAACTGACAAAGGTTTGATGTTTCATTTCAGGAAAAAAAATATGTAAATTGAATAAAAAATAGAGTCATAACGTTGTTGTTTAACAGGAGGAGAAGGAGAAGGAGCGGGCTCAAAAGGAGGAGGTGGTGACTCAGGTGACAGAGGTCCTGGAAAATGAGCTACAGTGTATTATCTGCTCAGAGCTCTTCATAGAGGTAAGATGTTCTTCATGGAGCCTCAGAAAATTTACAGCTGATGTGAAAAGCAGATAAATACATGGGTCTTTTGAAGTGGGCTTAACCAGATAAACCTATGACTGTGTTCCTGGAATCCGTGTATCATTCGTTCATTCGTTTTTTTAAATAAAACCAAAAATAAGAAAATGAAAAAACAGCATTTATTTCATTTTCTCCTCACTGAGACTGGGACTGAGATCAGGGCTGAGACCAGTTTAGTCCTGATTTAGTCCTGTTTTAGTCCTAGTTCAGTCCTCGTTTAGTTCTGGTTCAGTCCTGGTTTAGTCCTGTTTTATTCCTAGTGTAGTCCTGGTTCAAGTCCTGGTTCAGTCCTGATTTAGACCTCGTTTAGTCCTGGTGTAATCCTGTTTTAGTTCTGTTTTAGTTCTGTTTTAGTCCTGGTTTAGTCCTGGTTCAGTCCTGTTTTAGTCCTGGTTTAGACCTGGTTCAGTCCTGGCTCAATCCTGTTTCAATCCCGTTTCAGTCCTGGTTCAGTCCTGTTTTAGTCCTGGTTCAGTCCTGGTTTAGATCTGGTTCAGTCCTGATTCAGTCCTGGTTCAGACAGGTTGTAGTCCTGGTTTAATCTTCATTTTAGTTCTGATTTAGTCCTGGTTTTCGATCAAATTGTTAAAAAATGGGGACATCTGGGACATTTCTTGTATAAAACTGGGACAAATCTCTGGTTTTGGATAAATCTGCTGGGACAGGGGACACAGGACTCAAAACTGGGACTGTCCCGGGTAAAAAGGGACGTCTGGTTACCCTTACGGGGGGAGTTCGCGTTCGCCTCCTCCAAACATTACACGCGATGATAAACAAGGTCTGCTTTGGCAACTGACAACCACTCGACTTCAAACGGCAGAGGCTTTTTTACTAAATATTTTGACGCAGTGTTTAGCGACAAAATTACTATTAGCACCAAAAGAATCGTGAGCCACCACAGTTTGTTAATAAAATTTTTGTTTTATTTAATCAAACACCACAAATCCTTCTTAAATTTGTGAACTTTAGAAAATAATGCCCTAAGTTCGACATTCAGTCTTTGATGACAAACATGGCAAGGGCCCATTTTATGCGATTTTCTGATGTTGTTTCCTCATCAAAAACAAATCTGGAGTTGTGTTTTGTTTCATTCACACATGTTTAACACACAAATCCTGAATATTTAGGTTCTTTGAAAACACTCTGTTCCACCTTGTGATGTCATGTGGTAATACAGGAAGTGCTCCATTGTGTTTTTAAACTCCATTCACCTTCACTAGAATCACTTGGATGAGTTCAGCCCTGGAATTGACGATCTCTACTGAACTAAAGGTAAAAGGAGCTGTTAACTTGAAAGTACTACCTTATGACATCACAAGGGGGAAGCATTTTGAGCTTTGGAGATGTAGACAGTAGGGATGTAACGATATCCAAATCTCGCAGTACGATATTTTCACGATATACATCTCACGGTACTATATTTATTGCGATATTTTGTGGAGATTAACAAGACTTAAACCAAAGAACTAAGACTTAAAAGTGCTCAGAACGGTAATTTCTTCTTGGATTTTGCACCAAAACGGAGCAAAGGATCATGGTTGATGTAGTTCCTTTTGTTTTTTAACTACTGCTGCACCAGAGCAAAGAATTTATGCAAAGGAACTTGTGATTCGATATATTGTGATGGCCCATGATATTATTGAGAGACTTTTGACGATACGATATCACAATATTTTGGTTATTGTAGACAGACTAATGAACCAGAATTACTCAAACAAGTGTGAATGAAACAAAACACAACTCCAGGGTTGTTTTATAGGAGTGGCTTAAAGCTCACAAGAGATTATTGTGTACCTATTGTGTATTGTGTACCTTTAACAATTTGTTTTTACGGTCTGAAAATGAACATGTTTTTTTATTTTGCCGTCTTATTAAAATGTTTAAAATGGTTCTATCGATACCAGGCTGTGTGTGCGACTATTTGAATCCTGTCATAATTGGACAGACACTGTATTGTGATATAACACCTAACCCCTTTGTCTCGTGCTCAGGCGGTGATCCTAAACTGCGCTCACGGTTTCTGCTGCCACTGCATCCAACAGTGGCGCAAGAAGAAAGACGAGTGTCCCATCTGCAGACAGGCCATCCAGTCCCAGACGCGCTGCCTGGCCCTGGACAACTGCATCGACCGCATGGTGGAGAACCTGAGCCTGGAGATGAAGACCAGGAGACAAGAGCTGGTCAATGAGAGGAAAGGTGAGAGGTGCGTGTGTCGTTAATATTTCAATTATGAATTTAAAGTGAGAATATCATGGAAATCCAAGTTCAGTTTGAGTTTAGTTCAGACATTCAGACTTGTGTAGTTTTAAACCCACATGTACAAAATAAAGGGGCAAGGCAAGTTTATTTGTATAGCACAATTCGTACACAAAGTAATTCAAAGTGCATTACAGAATAAGAAATACATTAAAATCACAATACAGACAAATCAAAACATAAAGAATCAGCATTAGGGGTGTGCAAAAATATCAAATCATAGATATATCATAATGTTTAATGTGGTCATACAGTATTGATATCGTGGGCTGCTGTATCGATATATCACCAAGAGTATTTTTTTGGTTTATTTTACAAAATTATTTTGTTACAGTGCTACAGCTTTGTTGCTTGTTTAGGGGAAGGAAACTCGTTTATGCGACACATTTGACATTTTCACAGTTCTGATGTTTGTGTTTCATATTAACTTTGCACAAGAAGTGGTAAACAAAAACTTTCAGTATCACAGTCATGATTTAACCTTTATATTTTATTGAACCATATCTAATCGATTTGAAAATATCGAATCGAAAATGCACTGTATCGAGATATTTATCGTATCATGGCCTGTGTATTGAGATATGTATTGTATCGACAACTTCTTAATGATAAAAAGAGACAATAGTGCTCAGTAAAACGGTAAAAACAACCACATAAACATACACAATCACATGTTTTCTATTTGAGAGAAAGCTGTAAGGCTGTGCAAGTAATTGAATTTTGATCACAATTTCGATTTGTATGTCAAATGATCTCCAAACTCATATAATCGAGTTGAAATGATTTAAAACTTAACAAAGTTTATTTTGGGATACTTTTTTACATAAATAAGTGTATTTATGTTATTTTTTAAACATATAGATTGTAGAACAGCTGGATATATAGTTTATTTTAGATACATTTATGTTTTTCTATGCCTTATTTCATGTTCAAAGCATATTTTATTTATTTTATGTTTTATACTTCACAAAACTGCTCTAAGGTTCATATTTGTAGCCTACATTTATTTTCAATTTAAAAGTTTAGCGTAAATTATCAATAACAAAGTGTTTTGGGGTTTTTTTTGAGAGAGAAATGCTGAATAAATGCATCGTGTAACTAAGAAATTAATTCTTGAATAATCGTGATTTCAATATTGACGAAAATAATCGTGATAATGTTTTTTCTATAATTGAGCAGCCCTAACTCTATGTATAGTTTTGATGAGGAAACATTATAAAATAGATCTGAAAATAGCGTAAAATGAGCCCTTTAATGTTATACTGCTGTACTCGCTTCACTCAGGCCTTTGCTGACGTGGTATGAGCACCCTGGACTGTAAGGCATTAAGGCAGCTCTCCATTTATCTGAAGTGAACGATTTATGCCATGTCATGCTCTGGTCCGCAGCATTAATATCTGTGTGACAGCAGAGGGTGCTCCCGGCTCTGTGTAACGCCCCATTCGTCAAACCAAACGACTGCTCGGCCTGACCGTTCAGACAGGACTCACACTAATGACCAGAGCAGCCTTTACTGTCCGTCCTCCTGTCCACTCTGCTGCTGCTGCAAGGTTATTCTGCCACTGTTAAGACTTCTGGAAAAGGCATTAATGACCTGCTCCAACTGGATCTTAATGTTTTGTTTTGTTTTTTCTCTAGGAGGATAATAAGTGTTAAAGTGCCCATATTACACAGTTTTACCTAGAGTTGTGTTTTGTTTCATTCACACATGTTTAATAAGCGAATATCCGAATAACTGAAATATCGTCAAAAGTCTCACAATAATATCGTTGGCTGTCACAATATATATCGAATCGGAAGTTCCTTTGCTTAAATGCATTGTTTTAGTAGCAACAGCTTATAAACATCGGAAACTACATATCCCATGATTAATTTCAGTGCAAACAACATGAAGAAATGTGTTTTTTTACTTCTTGGGATTATGACAGAAATAATTCACACCAAAATCTTATCAAGGTATTTTAAAAGCAAAAAAGTGTCCTATCTACAATTATATCAGCCTCTGCAAAATATCGCAATAAATATCGTATCGTGAGATTTGGATATCGTTACATCCCTAATGTTTAACGTACAAATTCTGTTCTTCGCTCAGACAGAAAACACTCTGTTCCACCTTGTGATGTCATGTGATAATACAGGAAGTGCTCCACGGTGTTTTAAAGTCCATACACCTTCACTGGAATCATTTGGATAATTTCAGCCCAGGAATTTCCAGTCTCTCCTGAACTAAAGGTAAAATGTAGATGTCAGCTTGAAAACTACTGCTTCATGACATCACAAGGTGGAACAGAGCATTTTGAGCTTTGGAGATGTAGACAGACTAATAATAAAGGATTTCTCGAACGTCTGTGAATGAAACAAACACAACTAGAAACAACATTCTAACAAAAATATTGAAAATTGATATATCGTATTGCTTAATGTGATGATACAGTATCGATATCATGGGCTACTGTATCGATATATCACCAAGAGTATTTTTTGGTATATTTTAGTAAATTATTTTGTTACAGCGCTACAGTTTTTTTTGCTTGTTTAGTGGAGGAAAACTTATTTATGTGACAGATTTGACATTTTCACTGAGTAAAATGTTTTTGTTTTATATTCACTTTGCACAAGAAGTGGTTTAACAAAGACTTTTAGTATCACAGCCATGATTTAGCCTTTATTTTTATTGAACCGTATTGAATAAATCTGGAATGTATCGAATCGAAAGCCCACTGTATCGAGGTATTTATCGTATCGGCAACTTCTTAATGATACCCAGCCCTAATTCTAACATGGTTTAAGTCAATTTTGTGTAATATAGGACCTTTAAAGAGAAGAGAAAAGTTGTAGTTTTTGTTTTTCAAATAGAAGTAGAAACAGTATTTTGGTCCTTGAGTGAGACATTTGACCTGATTTGGTCTTGGAGTTAGTTGAGTTAGTTTACCACCGAATGTGAGTAGTGGGAGTGAATGATGCTCTGCAATAAGTTTTAGTATATCCATAATACATGAAAAATTAATTCTTGTTAGGCTATATATTTTTGACCACATGGTGGCAGCAAAACAACCAAATCGCAAACTGCTTTAAAACAGGACTATTTATTTATAACCCAGTGTTTCCCAAACTTTTTTCTGGGGACCCATATTTTAAAAGTCACAAACCTTCGCGACCCAAGTCAATAGACATTATTCATAAATCACAAAATAAAGGCGGATTTGACGATTATTGAACATTAATGAGGATATTTTATTGTTGACTGAGCGATCGTGTTTCTCTGAACTCAAGTTAGCATCTGTCTTCACCTTCACCAAGTTTAGTCAAGACAGAATTAGTTTTAGATCTGATTTAGGGTCATTATAATCCTTCCTTTTTATATTTTGATGACTATTTCCAGAGGTGGCATGGCGTGTTTCGTCTGAATGTACTTCCACTCTTCTTGCAGGAGTCGTAGTGCCCCCCGCAGAGGTGATGGTAATCCTAGATGAAGACAGCAGCGTGACCAGCGAAACGGGAGGCCAAGGTGAAGCGGAGGGCCCGGTACTCGTGGGCAGCAGTCGTAGCTCCTCTGTGCTGTCCGTGCACTCAGAATCCGACCTGGACAACAGCCAGGGGTCCGTGGTAGTGTTCTCAGATGATAGCTTTTTGGACGATCAGCCATGATTAAGGACTATAATAGTAGAGGTATTTCAATGGTTTACGCAAATGTGAAAGGGACTCTGTTTGGTCCCAGCTGGAGTCCATTATCCAGAAAAAGGGATTGTTGTGTTCATAATTTATCCGTTTTGCTAATATTGCGAATAAAGTTTTTTCATGTGCATTTTCATAACTTTTGCCTTTGTTATATCTTCTGCACTTAAATTAAACAAAACTGAAACAAGAAATTTTTTTTTATGTTTCTTTTCAGCTCTCAAAACGTATGATTTGGTTTTGTACAATGTTTTTTTTTTTTTCTTCATTGGCAAACAAAATTCACTTTTTACTTAGTTGTACTTTCATAATTTGATATCTATAGGTTTCAGAATTATTAACAACAACAAAAAAGACACCATCACTATCGCAAATGACAATTCAAACAAAATCTGAACGCCTCAAAATGTGTTCTAGGAATGTCGATGTTTGTAGTTTTTGTAGCTTTATGAAAAATTAGCTGTTCGTGCGTCAAATTGTTTCCTCTGATTAAGAAAATAATAATATAGCTCCATGTAATAATTTTTTACAGTATACTAATATCAATGGCACTAAAACTACTTCAAAATTAGACATAACCAAAAATTATGACATTTTACTTTATGTTTTGGACCCTAGCTGTGTACCTTTGTCTCTTGCCCCCCTTCCTCCACCTGTTCTCCTCTTCACCAAACATGGGTCCATCTGGGTTCTTTCAAACCCCAAATGTTCACAGCATGAAGCTCATGGCTGCATCAGCTCCACCCTTCCGTAAACATCAACAGAGACAATACAAAACCCAAAGTAGGTTGATTTGGTTGATTTTGGGGATGGTAATATCTAAAATGTACAAAATATTTTATTATGATTGACTAGTGCAGCAGATTCTACAATTTGGTTTGTTAATGAGGCATTTGTGGTAATGAACTATACTCAACTTTTACTTATATTTTGTATTTGAGTAATGATTTATAACAATACTGTTAGTCTTGAGTAAGTAAAATGTGGTTACATTTACAAGTGACAAAAGCTTTACGGTGACAATATTAAATGACCTTAACATATGTGTGTCTTGTACTACTCTACTTACAGCAGAAGTGGGACCAAGTCATTGTTTTGCAAATCTCCAGTAAGTCTCAAGTCTTTGGTCTCAAGTCCAAATCAAGTCTCGAGTCACTAGCTCATAAGTCCAAGTCAAGTCCAAGTCATTTGCTTATTTTGTCATGTAGTCTGCAGTGAAATGGAAGGATAATGTTCTTTGTAGTTCCCTCTGTTTTACTGTATTGTACTTTATATTACTGTAGTACATTTGAGGATACCACATCACAGTACTTCAGTAACATCCAAAGTAACAAATAAAGAAGTGGGAGGGACATGTTCCAGTTTGTTCCTGTAAAATTAAGCACCGCATTTATGAACTGTAAAGAGAAAAGTATTTTCTAAAAATGTATTTTATAGGAGAAACATCAAGTCTTCTCAAGTCACATGGCTCAAGTGTGAGTCAAGTCCCAAGTCACTGACCTTCAAGTCCAAGTCGAGCCCCAAGTTATATCAAGTCAAGTCTAAAGTCCTAAAAATAGTGACTCAAGTCTGACTCGAGTCCAAGTCACAACTTGCAAATCCCCACCTCTGACTTTCAGTAATGTTTTTAGTTTATCTTTGTTTCTTGTCTATTCTTGACTATACCAGCTTATGGCTATTATAGGGTGAACAGATTTTCAAAATAAAAAACTGGGACATCCCTCGTTTGGTTTGGGCTGGTAATGATAAAACTGTGAAACAAGTGCGTAATTAAGAAAAACTGTTATGCATTCAGCACTAATGTGAGACAGTATAGTCACATTTTCTTTGTGTTTTGGTCATTTTTAAGCAGCTTTTCTGTATTTTACCCAAACAAATGACAAATAAGCCTCTTTTTTACATTTTCTTTCAGGACATGTCTTGTATAAAACCGGGACAAATCACTGGTTTTGGATGAATCTGCTGGGACAGGGGACACAGGGTTCAAAACTGGGACTGTCCCGGGTAAATAGAGACATCTGGTCCCTCTATTAGCCTTATACGCATCGTTTTAGATTTAAACTTTAGTTGATGTTTCTAGGGAAGGTTTAGCAATTTATATTCATTTTTTATTAAAATTTTAACATTTAATTTTAATATTTGTTTCATTTTCACTTGACGACAGCGCTTGAGTTTCCTACGCAGAAGCGCTCCGTGAAGTGTACGTGTACGGTTACCATGGCGACAGTGGCGTGGCTTGATTAAACGTGGTAAAAGTTTCGTGTATTTTGAGCCAAGTAAAACGGTAAGAAAATCATAATAAATATTTAGTACACGCTATTTATTCTCTTCGTTTGAATTCCCACAGCTATTCAGAAAAATTACCTTGCACAATGTTTTGTTTTGTGTTGTTACGTTAGCATTAGCAACAACGAAAATATTAACATGATAAAAAGCTAAATAGCTAAACTTGCAAATATATTTTAGTTTGAGAGGGATTTTTTTAAAAGTTAATTAGTGGCAACAAATAACATTATGCATACAACCATCTCACAGTTTTAATGCACAACCCAGACTATGAAAAAAAAAACACATTTGACTGTCACATATAGAAACTATTCATTCATTCATGTTTATGTCACTATTTATGCAGCTAAAGTTGTATTCTCTTTCTTTTACAGTAAAAATGAGCGTTAAACACAGGAGGAGGATCATCGCTGAGGATCCAGACTGGTCCCTGGAACAAGTGCCTTACCTGTCCAAACTCTGTCTGCAGGAAATCATCAAGAACATAGAAGGTACAGGAAATTATGGCTGAGTTTTAGATGATTTCTTAAAATTATTCAGACCTAGAGGGATAATGGTTGTAAAAATGTGACTCAAAATTGTATAAAAAATTGCAAGGTGTTTTGTTTTTTTAAATAGTAGTGTATTTTATATCTAGAACGTATGAAAAACACTTGATTCATTTGAAAAACCACCAAACAACTCAGTACTAACCCAGTTTGTTCTCGTTACTTTGATTTATAATTTATACAATTCCCAATGCAAAATATTACATACAATTTCATAATACATACTAATATTATTACAACTCTACTTTAAATCACTTCTAAAAATGTACCTTTTCTCACTGGCTTTTAAAAAGTGAGATGTATATTTCTTGTTATTGAATATCTTATCATTTCTATGTTTTTTTATTTGTGTGTATTGTGTTTGGGTACAGCACTTTGGCCAGTTGTAAAGTTTTTAAAGTATTTTACAAATAAAGTTGCTAAGTTTTGGCAGTAGTAGTGATTGCTTTTCGGTTTGTTTAATATAAATATGTTTCAACTTCATTCTATAAATTTGATTGTCCTAAAAAATAGGGATGGTCTGATATGATTTTTTTTCAATGATGTTAACAATCACCGCTTTTAATTATCAAGTTTGTGGAATCTATAGCAAAACTCACAAATTAAGGTTTTGCTTAGAATGTTCCACACCACACCAGGCCAAGTTATAGGTCAGATCTGTGGTGAGGATTTAGTGATGTTGGATCTTTACAATATATGAAAATGTATTTTACTACGATACAATACTGGTATCATATTGTCTTTCCCTAATGGTCAGAAGAATTGATTACACCTGCTAATTTAAAACCTTTACACTGTTTCTTCTCTTAATTTTTACAGTCCTGCCTATATATGAAGAACTGGGGCCTTCTGAGCAGAAGTTCATCCAGGAGAAGCTACCACCGAATGCTCCCCTCACAGTCACGGCCAACCTGATCCCCGACGGCGTCTACTGGGAACGCCGCTCCAAGGAACTCTGGGACAACTGCGACGTGTCCTACCATGGCCAGAGCTGGAAGAGACTGTTTTTTGAGCGCTACTTGGAGGGACTAATCGAAGCGTTCATCCCTGGAGAAACCAAGCTCAAAACCATCCTGGAAATGGTACCTCTGTGTAAAGATTATGTGAAAGGATTGGATATTAAAGAGCTACTCCCGCCGATTAAAACACTACAGAAGAAGGAGGAAGAGGAGGAACATTCCAAGCTGGGCAGTATCCACGATGAAGAGGACAAACCTTTTCTAGACCATTTTAATTTCAATGTCCTGCTAGAAAAGCTCGACAACCTGGAAGAGCTTCACCTGGTGTACAGAGTGAAGCAGTGCGGCATGAACTACCAGAAGGACATGTTTCGGATGACGCAGAGGGACTGTGAGACGCTCGCTCAGGCTGTCGAGTCCTGCAAGACTCTCAAGGTCAGATAGATATGAAAAATAATACACAACTTGGCACTACTCTGTCTTATGCTCTGTTACTCAAGTTAGACTTTAATCCGAGCTTTGTTTGAACACAATCTGACCAGAAAGAGCTGACATTTCTGAATAACTGGTGAGCTGGTTTCTCTCAAATAACATTACAGTCACAAGCAAACTAGAATTTGCCCAATATTTATTTTCAATTAGTCTCTCTCACCTTGAAAATCAAACACTTAAATGGGACCATGAACACCCATAGTGATCACAAATGCTGCAAAAACTAGTGAAACATTACACAGAATAACATGAATCTGCAAATTCAAGTTTATTTGGCCTTTTGTCTGTGTTCTTTGTTGTTTGTTAAAGTTGCACTATTTAACTTTTCTAGGGGACGGTCTGCTGCCTGCTTGATTATTGTTTTTTCTGGAATGTCCCACAGTATGGCATAAAATTTATTAAACTCCATGGACACAAGCCAGCATTCTAGGCACAGCAATAACATCTTAGTTTAGTTTAGTTTAGTTATTTAATGAGACAGGGACAGTGAACAATATACACTACCAGTCAGAGGTTTTAGAACACCCTAATTTTTCCAGTTATTTATTGAAATTCAAGTCGTGCAAGTCCAATGAAGAGCTTGAAATGGTACAAAGTTAAGTACTGAACAGAAAGAGGTTAAAAAAAAAAGATAAAAGAACAAAACACAAGTCCAAGCTCTGCCACAACTACCTCAGGAAAAAAAACTTGAAAACATGGAGTGTCCAGCACAGTGTCCAGAGTTAAACCCCATCGAGCTGGTTTGGGGATGAACTGAACAGAAGAGTGAAAGCCAAGAAATCTACAAGTGCCACACATTTATGGGAACTTCTACAACAGACTGGGGAAGAACTTTCTGAAGAATATTTGATTTCTATTGTAAAAAGAACGAGCCACGAGTGTGTTCAGCTGTTATATCTGCCAAAGGAGGACACTTTCATGAATCAAAAGTTTAGATTACATTTTGGTCTATAAATTGATTACATGATTTCTTTTTTCAACTCACACTGCTTTTTTGTTCTATGGTTTCATTTCAGAGTGCAATGACACAATAAACTGAATAATTTTCTGTAAAAAAATGGAAAAAATTTAGTGTTCTAAAACTTTTGACCAGTAGCGTACATTAATCTTAAGAGGAGAGATGAATTGTACCAGGATGTAGCCTGTAACCTGTCGTCCATGGGCAGGTTGATGTTATAGCTCATAAAATCAAAAATACAAAGAGAATCTCGAAGTCTTTATATTGACCAGATCATAACAATTCTGTGTCCTCATTCACACCCAGTTCTCTCAGCACCGTAAAATCTTTATACTTATCAAAATCAATCAATTCAGCAATTCATTCACACAGAGCACACACTCTCTCCAGACACTCCTCAGTTCACATTATAGGCGCAGGTTTGGTTTGAAAGGAGACACTTTTTCGCACTTTCCAGGTGTGAGAATGTGCCGTAGTTGTAGTTGTTCATGTGATCAGCTCTGTTGGTGGCTCAGGAGGTGGTTTCAGAGCTCAGTCTTCATTGAAAGAAGTGGGTAGCTGACCTTCCACCATAAAAGTTGCATAGTGCATCAGGGACAAGTACTGAAGCAAAAGGTATACCCTTTGGTTTCATATTTGTAAGTCATTTTAACAGGTTTTTGCTGATGTATTTTTTCCTTTTATTTAGAGTGTACAGATACAAGTAAATTGTGCTAATTTTGTTGTGTTTTATAGGTTCTGCACCTCTACCACAGCATGGTCGATGACACTCAGTGCAGACATCTGGTTAAACACTTACTGGACCACCCATCTTTGACCAAGCTGGACCTCAGTTTCAACTGCATAGAAGACAGAGGAGCCAGAGCTATCGGCAAACTGCTCACCCAGAGTAAACTGAAGACCCTCAAACTTTACAACACCATGATCAGAGACCACGGCGCTAAAGCCATCGCCCACGGCCTCTCCACTAACACCACTCTGGAGGAGCTGAACCTGAGCCTGAACCGTGTGGGGGACGAAGGAGGGGAAGCCATCGCGACCGCTCTGCTCAACAACTCCTCTCTGAAGACCCTGGACCTGGGGGGGAACGAGGTGGGCGAGCTTACCGCCATCGCTCTCTCCAAAGTGCTCATCCAGAACCGAACCCTGACAAGGATCAGTCTCCTACTCTGCAAACTGGGAGTGGTGAGTAATGCGATGCAATGGGAGTAATGAGCCAGAATCTTAACTTTAAAACCCTATTGTTGCCTATTTATGGGTTTTAGCTTCCTGTTTTTAGACAAATATCAAGCAAATTCAAAAGATACACAAGCAGTATTTAGATATAGAGTTAATGTGATGATGTTACTTCTGGGTCCAATCCAAAGACCGTATAAAAAGTGGAGTGAGTGAGTGTGATGTCACCCACAGCGTTTGGCTCCAGTCAAATGAAGCTCGATTTTATGAATAGTACTTTTTTAACAGACCAAAGAACAAAATATAAACACTAGAATCATATAAAGCAGGTTAAAACGAACATTTTAAGACCAAAATGACAAGGACTCCACTGTGAGGGTTGTTCAGACATGGGGGGTAGAGCGTTCCAAAGTTTGAAGCCGGTCACAGAGAATGGCCAGTTCCCCCAGTTTTAAGTCTCGTCTTAGGCACCATGAGTGGGAGTTGGCCCTCGGACCTCAGAGAGCGCGCGAGGATGTAAATTTAGAGGAGGTCTGAGACGTATTGTGGGGCCAGTCCATTCAAAGCTTTATAAACAAGCAATAAAATCTTAAAATCAATTCTAAAACGAACTGGAAGCCAGTGCAACGATGCTAAAATTGTCTCTTAAATAACATTAGTCACAAGCTGGCTAATGTGTGCATTGTGTCACTATGGAAACTCCTGAACATTTCGCTAAAGAGATACATGTAGAACACCCCCAACGTGATGTCACTGCAAAGTACCAATAGTTCTAGGAAATCTTAACTGCTATGGCAACAGTCCTAATTTTTCATGATCCTGAAATCCCTGGATAGTCTAGAAGTCAGATGATCTTTACTGCCCTTGAACCCACTGAGTTTATTTCTGTCAATTGGACATGGTGCATTTATTTAATCAGCACAGTCAAAATCAATTATGACTGATGTACAGAAACCGAAAACGGGAAAGCATCCAGCAGCATCCACATGTTACTTCACTCCTCTGTAGCATTCAGGGATATAATCAAATGAACCAAATATGTTTTCCCGTAATATAGAAATTTGGATTTGATTACATGTTGTATAAATGGGATTGTTTTGTTTTTCAGGAAGGAGGTAAAGCCCTGCGGGAGGCCATGTCCAACAACAGCACTGTGCTCAGGTTTGTCCTGGATTGCACCGACATCGAGGAGGACGACATGGACTTCATAAACGAGGTGGTGTGGACCAACGAGGAGCGGGTGTCTCTTAAGTCAAGACCAAAACTGTACCAATGTATTTCAATGAATTAATTAAAGAAGACATAAAACAGCTTAATAATGGAAACAGATCCTTTGACTTCCTGATCAAAACTCGAGATCTGATACTAGTCTCTGTCTTTTCATAGTCAAAAATATGCATGTGTGACCCAGAGTCCCAATTTTTTAATCACAAGTAAGTACAAAGCAATGAGTGGCGATAGGGGGTAGGTGAAAATACACATTTTCCGAGCATTCAAGCCTCAAATGCGGTACAATACAGGATTACTCAGTTAGTCCGTTTGGATGTAGGACAATAAAAAATATGCACACATCACTACAATACAATTTTAAGTGGATAAATGAGGGAAAAAATATAGTTATGATACAATTAAATAATAAAATTGTCAACTTTTATATTAAAATCCTTTCTACATCCATTGGGAATGTAAAAAGCACCTTGTCTTGCTCAAGGACACAACTACAGTATTCACTTATGAGTCTAAAAATCAAACTAATGAGCTTCGGGTCAATGGGCGGATGCTGTACTACATAGTATTGTCAACAAATATAAAAGTACTATTTTAATGTAGTAGTGGTAGCAGTAGTAAATAGTTTAACTTTAAGCGAGTCTGGATAAATGGAATAAGGTTGCGGTAATGCAGATATAAATACACAAATGGCTAGTTGAGAATATTCAAAACAACATTCTTAAAAAAACATGCTAACAACAGGATTCCCATGCTTTTTCATTGACAAAATTTCAAAACTTTTCCTTGACTTTTTCATGACCTTAAGTGAATTTTCCATGACGTTACAGCACCTACATGTGTAGAATTTATCAGACTTTTAGGGCTAAATATGAAATGTTAACCCTTTCCACTCACCTTTTGGTTTGGTATTAGTAAGGTTTTGCGTCTACGTCACAAAACCACATGACCTGGTGTTTATGCCGCCATACTGGAGGTCAAACTATCCATCTGGACGAACGTGTAGTATTTGTGTGGGATAAAATTTGAATTGAATAACAATGGTTTTGACCTGTGTTGCGATTGGATGTTCTGACTAGAGTCAATCTGCTAAAGAAGGAGGCCAAAATATCTTTCTATCGGATCCCGGCTGATAAAGATCGCTGACAGAGGTGGATACTGGCCATAAAAAGAGAGGGATGGGAGCCCACTGAGTACAATCATCTGTGCAGTCAACATTTAATTTCTAGTGAGGGACCACCTCCACACAAATAAAGAAGGAATTTACAGTAAATGAAATTATATGAAATGATCCCCGGTGCACCTTAATAGTTTTTTAACATTCAAAATACAATGCATTTATTGTCGTCTCTTGTAAACAAAAGGTGCACACCTTCGGAAATAATCATAATAGCCTAATGAAAACTTAACTAAACGCTGTAATTACGTGAAAGAGATGCTAAAATTCCATGACTTTACCAAAACGTTCATTGAATTTACGAAGTTTCATGACATTTTCAATTTCCTTGACTTTTTTGGGATTTTCATGACTGTGGGAACTCTGCTTTAAGCAAGTCTGAATAAATGGAATAAGGTTGCTGTAATGCAGATATAAATATGAAAATGAGTAGTTGAGAATATTCAAAACAACATTCTTTAAAAACATGCTAACAATAAAAAAGCCTTGACGACATATTTAGTGAGAAGTTGCATTTATTAAGCCTGTTACAATGACCAATGAATGAATATAAGGCATTCTTCTTGGTACTAAAATCTTTTATTACCTTACCAAAGCTTTACAAAACCCACAAAAGGAAAATTGTTTAAAAATAGGCGTGCTAAGTGCTAAGTCATTTCTACCATGCTAAAGCTAACTGCTGGCATAATAATACTGAAATCTGATTCCCAGCTGGTGTCTTCAGATCTAAAGTGAGAAGGTTTATTTTAGAATGTAATATAATGCAAGTTTCAGTTATCAGTTAATTTAACAATGCCAGAAGAGATTTTACTTTGACAATATAGTAAAATAATTAAACAAAATAAATGTGAACAATCCGTGTATCATTCGTTCATTCATTTTTCAATATAAAACCAAAAATAAGAAAATGAAAAAACAACAATTTTCTTCATTATTTGTCTCCAAAACCAACATGAAAAAGCAGATAATGATTCATTTTTTCAGTTTTCGATTTTGTGTTTAAATGAAGAATGGAAAAAACGAATAACGTCCGTTTCCCTTTTACATGACTTCCGTGACTGCGATGTCGGACTTTTGCACCGCATATGGACTGAACCAGACCGTAACAAGACCGGGACTGAGACCGGAACCAGACCGGAACCAGACCGGGACCAGACCGGAACCAGACCGGGACCAGACCGGGACCAGACCGAGACTGAGACTAGACCGGGACCAGAGCGGGACTGAGACCGAGACCATATCGGGACCAGACCGAGACTGAGACGAGGATGGGACCAGACCGGGACCAGACCTGGACCAGACCGGAGGCTCAGAGCCCACGGCAGGGCCGGAGCTCGAAGCTGAGCTGTCAAAGCTTGGAGTCCGTGCTGGTCCCACTCTAGTCCCGCTCTGGTCCCGCTCTGGTCACGGTCTGGTCATGGTCCTGGATCAGTCCTGGTTCAGTCCGTATGCGGTGCAAAAGTCCGGCATCGCAGTCACTGAAGTCACGTAAACGGGCCGTTATTCGTTTTTTTCCATTCTTCATTTAAAAACAAAATCGAAAACTGAAAAAAGAATCATTATCTATTTTTTCATTTTGGTTTTGGAGACAAATAATGAAGAAAATAGTTGTTTTTTCATTTTCTTATTTTTGTTTTATATTGAAAAAAGAATGCACGAATGATACACGGATTGTAAACATTAGTACAAAATCAGTCTGTCAATCACTTTAACATTCTTCTATCTCTCTATCTCTATCTTCTATCTACAAATGATTCCCACATTTCAACGTACAAAATTGACCCGTTTAGTCTAAAAGTACAAACCATAAACCCGCTTATGACATTTCGAACATTAAAATAAAATAATATCAGTAAGAAACACATTTTGATCATATTTTAAATTACACATGACAGGTTGAACTACTCATTTTACCCAAACACAGTTAAGATCATTATATTTAAGATTTTACTGAAAACAAATGTGTAAAAATTACCCAGTTTGAACATTTTTTTAGGTTTAAAATTATTTCCCTTGTGGATCAATAAAGTTTCTCTAAGTCTAAGTCTGAATTCTATAATAGCAACCATAGACTGGGCCAAAACTCCTCTAATGTACACTGAAATTATTATTTGACCAATACAAATATAAGAAAACACCTTTATCTTGTTTAAATAATTGTTTAAGTATCCAGAAAAAAATTAAAAGTTTCTCTTGTCTCCCTACTTCCTGTAGTTTTCATCATATTGTACTGTATTTTTCAACTTTTTTTTTTTTTTAACAAATTACTTCTTGATCAGTGTAAAACTATGATTTATATTTTCAACAGGTATTATCGCACCGAGTTAAGTAAAAGTTTGAGAGCCATATGCAGAGGCGGTGCTACCATTTGGCAAAATCAGGCAGCTGCTTAGGGCTCTCGAGCTTGGAGGGGCCCCCAAACAATTGAGGCCTCAGAGCAATTTGATTTTCTCGCAATATGACATTAAATGAGAGTAGTTTACTTTTAAACAGAGAATGGCCGATTCAGCTGGACCCTGATTTGAACATAATCATAGCATAATCATATATAATGGATGTAAACAAAAATGTAATTGTACCAGCAAAAAAATAAAACTACATTCAGCTCTGGTTATCTATTAGGCTCCCTAAACTAATAAGACAAGTTTCCAGTCCACCCTAATTCAAATAGAGATGTGCATGTCTCAAGAACAATGGAGGAAAACAGATAATAATAAAAAAAAAACAAAAAAAAAAAAAACAGTGCATTATAGTGAGGGCCCCAAACTCAAGTTCACCTAGGGCCCCCAAATTGTTAACTCCGCCACTGGCCATATGCACTGTAAACAATAATGTATGTATCATTTATTTGCCATAACCTAATCCAATTATATTTAAACTACATATGACAGGTTTTTATGTTTTTCTAAATATTACTTGGTTTGGTCGGATAATATCTGTGGTCTATATTTATCAGTTTTACATCAGAAATCAAAAATACAGGAAGTAGTGATCAGCTCTAAAACAGAATATCTCTATCAACAGGGAAAATTCAATCCAAAATGCAGGGAGAATTTATGCACAAAGGAGTTTCGATCGCCATATAACGAAATAAAAGTGTCAGATCATAAGTATTTTGTATATTTGACAAGCATTGGCCTTTTGTTTACAGTGTGATAGTTATCAGCTCTACATATGTCATATCTGCTGCTCTGTCCTTCCAGAAAGTAAACTATAAACTTCTAAAATTGATAAAACGAGATACATCTAGGCAAGATTATTAGTAAAATCTTAAATATGATAACAATAGTCTACCTTGTCAAATGCACGTTAAAAACAGAAAGCCAGTTGTTGAAATATAAATATTTTTTGCAGTTTTTTTTGTAGGTTTAAACAGCAAAATTTCAATGCAAATGAAAAGTCAGAATAAAGCTTATCACTTCCACTTTAATGTAAGCCATGCCCTCCAGTGCATTATTTGACGAGTTAAGGCTGATTGGGCCGGATGTATTCCCTCATTAGTATGAATGACAGCTGTAACAGGAACAAATGCAGACACTGTGACTGCCGCTCTGCTCCACATATTTACTATACTTAGAAATCCAATGGCTTTGAATCCGGCCAGTGTTAAATAGCAGAAAACAAATCTGCTAATGACCCACGGCCGGGTATATTTCACTGCAGCCCTGTGCGTCCATGATGATATGCAGATGGGAAAAACCAAAGCACCATTTTAATAGTATTTACACTGAAATAATCACCTTATGTTGCAAACGCATGCTCTCTTTAAGCTGATGATTAGGGTTGCACAATACGGTAAAATTGTTACTAATGCAATATCGGATATCCATGATTTTCACAACAATGACCTATTTTACAAACATATCCTGTCTTTTGATTGGGGAAAAGCCCGCAAAATGTTGCTGATAACAGGAAGTTCAAACTCATGAGCAGTGCAAAAATCATTATCTATATATATCATGTTGACACAAATGTCTTTTATGCAGCTGCACTGAGACGGTAAAGTTCAAAGACATTTTCATTTTGTTAGTTTTATTAGTTTTGTTTAGATTTTATTAGGCTCTTCGGTTAAGTTCCTTTAAACAACCGTGTAAAAATCTAACAGGACTCTCTGATCTGAATGTACTTGCGGCCAATCATGAACCTGTGTTAGTGCAGCCTCTGCAGCTCAGTGAGGGAATTCTGGAGGTTCTGAGCTTTCACATGAGACATGGTATGGAAGATCATTTGTTCCATTAGATTTAGAATTTTAAATACCATTGAATTTCTTACTTAGAATTTTTTAACTCTGAAAAAATATGTTTGAATTATTTTTATTCTGAATTTTAGTTGCTGAAATTTTATGTATACTTTTTCAATGTTTCAAATTCAAAATAAAAAATTCACTTTTTAAATACTCAGCTCATATATTTTCAAGCCCTCAAATTCAACAGTCAGAATTCAGAGTGTAAAATTCGCAGCAAAGATCCAAGATGCCAAGATAGAAGTAATTGATCCTGTTTGAGTGAGGAGAACAGAGGCTGTTTCTTATTGGCCATTCTCATCTGTGGGCGGGGCTTAGGCTACGTTTACACTGACCGTATTGGAAATGATTTGCGTCTAGACACGTTGTTTCTGTGTCCGCAAGTCTTCCCTATCCACACAGCTTTGCGCAGATTTGTTTACGTTTTACAGAAACAAAACTTAAAACCGCATGGCTAATTTGTATAAATTGAGCACTCAAAAAACAGCTATTGTGCCCTGACGTGGTTCAGCTTCTGTCAGACTAAAGGACACAACTCAGTGGAATATGAGTGTTCTTTCTGTGACAGAGGGGTGTTCTGCTGATGGTGAGTCTGTTCTGTGCTTCTATCGCATTGGAGATGGTTCATGTTAAACTTTTCAGAGATTATACGTCTGCAGCTCGTACGCACAGACCGTATATATGAATGGACATATATTCTAGCCTCTTAGTGTTTTGGTGGTGAATTACTTTGCGCCACATAGGCCTACATCAACATATCAAGCGTCCACACAGTGCCAGATCAGATCTGTACTCAGATGAATTTGTGGGAGCTGCCGGCAATAGATCGTTCTGTCTCTGGAGCCATTTTCCATCGGAGTAGTGTGGACAAACACTGCATCAACAGCGAAAATTACTCAAATACATTCTAGTGTGGATGGGGCCTTACACTTAAAGAAATAAAAGAGATGAGGTTTGATGAGGCTAATTCTGACCAATCAAATTAGTTCACTTCACCATTTCCTGCTTGTTACAAAATTAGATTGGATCACTGTGGATCGATTGCTTCTGCCTTAGCATCTTGGCTCTTTGTTGCTAATTTTTTCACTGCGACTTTTTTGATTTTAAATTATAAACACTTAGAAATTTTAAACTTAATATTTCATCAACTGCCGTTCAGAATAAAAATAATTCAAACTTTTTTTTTTGTGAGTAGTGTTAAAGGTTGTATAGAGGATTTTCCAAGGAACGAGAAATCCAGCGACTGTTTGTCCTTTTTCAAATGTTGCGCATGTGTGAAACCACCCCCCCTCCCCTACAGCTCCCTACGTAGAAACGCCTCCTCCCGCCTCCTCTTTACGCCAGAAACAGGTTTGTTTACAGCCGGTGCGCTGCACATGACTTGTAAACAACTAACTACAGTGTTGGTTAGGCAAGGCGGAGAAGTGAGGAGCGGGGGGAGCGGGTGTGTGGACATTTTGTTCGCGGACGAGAAGTGAGGAGCAGGGAGAAGAGCGGAGCAGGGAGAGAGGAGAGGGGAGCGGTGCGCGGAGATTCCGTGCCCGGAGAAGTGAGGAGCAGGGGGAAGAGCGGAACGGGCAGCGGGGACAGGAGCAGGAAAGGGGTGCAGAGAAGGTTGCGCGGAGATTCAGTGCGAATGAACTAGCTACAACACGCAGCAGCAAGCGGACTCTTTCTTTGCCTTGAAAATTACGTTTTCAGACATAGGATATCGCTTTCGTGTCCTGAAAAACGTTTGACTAGCTCTTGGAAATAAAGTACGTTTTCATAATAAGCAGAAGTGACCTGTCCAGGAGTAATTTGGCGACCAGTGCATCAGTCTTTAGACCCTTCGTCTGCTTCAGTCGCGCCATCGCTGGAATGAATCTTCAAGAATCACCTTAGTTTGGCTTCGCTGCTTTTTCCCTTGTCTTCTTCTTTCAGCGACCTCAAAAACGGACTTTCTTTTGCGGCTAACTGCTCCTGGATTCTTGTCTGCCATTGCAACAAACTTTGTGCTAACTGCGAGGAAGATATAGGTCAAAAAAAGCCGCTAAGAACTGTTGCGTTGGTGGAGTAAACAGCGTCTGTGCGTCTTGCGTCTGTGGACTGCGTGACAGGTGTACGTAAACCACGTACCGGCGGCGCGCAGGCAAGTCAGTTACGCTAGAAACGTAGGGAGATTGATTGACAGCCTGTCAGCTAACAGATAACGAGGCAGTGTCGTTATCTATTGGCAAATGTTTAGCCCCACCACGTCCAGAGTTGATGAATTTTTATTCTCTTTTTTTTGGTCATCATAATTACAAGGCTACTGCACCTCTATAATGCTATCATTGACAACTTGAAACAAAAAAAAATAAAAAATCCTCCATACAACCTTTAAGTAAGTTCAAAAGTGAGAAATTCAACGGGATTTAAAATTCAAAATCTAATCGGACAAATTATCTTCCATACACGTCCTGTCCATGTACTGACAAAAAACTATCTTCAGGTCACTGGAAATCAATTTGTGGATTTGTCAGTGTAGTAACTTTTTCAAACTCAGTAATTATCAAAATCGTATACATTTATATTTAACGCGTTATTCCAATGCATTTTTAACTACAAATGGCACATAGCCTAACCTAATGTGGCATGGTATATAAATATGTACATGTCACATACAAAAGTAATGTTCCAAAATTGAATATATTGAATAATTCTCACTTTTTTCTTCCATTGTGCAGCCCTAGTCACTACATCTGAGAGACTGCATGCATTCAGCCGCAGTGTATTTAAAGTAATCCTGTCATATTGGTCGCTGTGACAGTATCAGTAGTGAATCCAGGCCTCCTCCTATTTTAGGCGTGTTTGATGGCCTGCTCAGCCTGATATGCATCAGCAGCAGCCCACATCCTAAACACTCGTAATGGAGGATTTGTCCAGTGAAAAACGCGACATGTCCCTTTGCATTGTGTGTCCCAGCTGCAGTTTAGTGATTTGATGAACTGGCAAAATGCTTGGATTAAATGCTTGCTATAGTCTTGGTCCAGAGAAGGCACTTAAATAAAGAGGTAGCCTGATTATAAAAAACTAAAAAAAACTAAAATGCAAATATGAAATAAAAATGTCTTAGCTGTTTTAAATACACAGTTTGCAGGATTGCAGAATCAGTTGGAAGTTTGCGTGTCCTTTAGCCCCCTGCGCTCAATTATTCATAACCTCTGCCTCTATTTTTAGAAAGCCGGGAAGTATAATGTCATCGCAACCAAGCTGCTATATCACATGTTTATTTTGATCAAAGTGTCTTCCCCTCTGAGGAAACTACCTCAGCCTCACTCATTTAGCAACATTTACAAAGCACAAGTCTGAATGCAAGACTTTAATTTGCTTCTATAAAGGAAAGAAGAGCTCTTTGTGTAGTTTGGCTGAAATAAGCAGTTAGTATTTTATCTTCATTATTCAAATTATCCAAGAAATCCAGATTTTATTCTTAAAATGTCTGGATCTCACATGAGGCTCAACATGATCAGTTGTTTATTATACCATTAATCCCAAAGTGTAAATTTGAGGTACAGCTCATTTCTCCCTGAAGTCTTTCTTGTCTCTGTCCCTTCTCTGGTGCACGTGTCATAGGGAGGTCTCCACACAGGAGCCGTTCCGGTGCAGGGCGTGGTGGTCGTGGTTGAGGCAGCCTTCGTTGCGGTGCACTATGAGCACAGGGAAGTACAGAGCGTCCTGATATTCCGGGGGGCCGTCCTCTCTGGGCGTGGGCTCTGACAGACGAGTGCTCTCTGTGGGACAGGCCTGGTTCAGACTCCCGCTGCTCCTCCACAGGCTGTGCAGGCGGCCCAGAGACAGGCGGCTGGAGCTGAAGGGCAAGCGAGGCGTGGTACAGATGCTCAGGGCACTGCGAGAGAAGATGGAGGAACTGCTGATGGCACGCTGGCACCGCTCACAGCTCTGTCTGTAACTGCTGTAACCACCCTCTGACCGCTGAGACAGGTCCATGAGCACAGCCTCCGAGTAACTGGGCACCAGCTGCTGGTTGGAACGGATGTGCCACTCCAGCTCCGTGCTGTCGATGGTGTTGACCCGCGGGATGCGCCTGCAGTATGGCCTTTCCTCTGTGGGAGAGCTGGGGACATAGTCAAAGCCAAAGAGCTTCTCTACGTGGTAATGTGCACAGACTGTCCGATACTCCATCAGCACCCTGAGGGGCCAGGACAGGGTCAGGGCAGCTGCCAGCCAGAAGGTAGTGTGAGTGGCATACCATGGGAGGTGGCTGGGGTCTGAAAAAGCCATCATATACTCTCTAAAGTCCACATTCTTCAGGTGCATGCCCTCTCGCGCCTCCATGTAGTCATCCAGACCCTCGTTCTCAGTGAAGAAGCGAGCCCTCTGTGTGAGGTACGAGTTCTCCGACTCCACATTGGCAAAGCTGAAGCACTTTGTGAACCTCAGTCGTGTGATGGGAAAACTCTCCAGGCCCACCAACCTCTTGGAAATGTCTTTGACCCCACAGTTTCCATAGTCGAACTCTGCCTCGGCCACATGGGTGTTGACCCTCTCGTGGTAGACCTGTGTGGTGGTGTAGGCGTCTCCGTTGCGGTAGCGGGTCACCTGCCTGGTCCTGCGTACATAGTGATAACTGATGGCCTTCCACCAGATGCAGGGGGTGGCCTGCTGCATCCTCTGGATACGCTCGCTCACGTTGTCCACATCCACCTTGTACTGCAGCTGGTTCTGGGTGTGGCAGTGCCAGCACTCCTACCAGGTACACCACATAGAGCATGAGCAGGAAGGCCAGGGGGATGTAGATGTATCCGTTGGAGCAGGGGCTGTCGTGGTACATCATAGACTTGCCTTTGTACGCGCTGTCGAAAGAGAGACGTGTGACTGTTGTGACCTGGCACCAGGCCATGGCCCCCACACAGGCGTACATGAGCAGGGACAGCAGCAGACACTTCCACTGACTCTCCTGACACAGACATTTGGACAAGGACTGCCTCACCGGTCGCTGCTGCAACACACAACACAAAACACAGCACAAGTGATGAGCTCCGGGAGCTGGCTGTTAATGAAACACATTGCTTTAGCACCTTTAACTCACTCTTATTTATGAACTGGAGAGCAAGCAGGCACCCTCGGGATAAACTTAGAAACAGTTCAAAGGCATTGCCTCGTGCATATTAAATATTTACAGAAATATTCAGCGTTTTAAGTGCTTTAGCATTCTTTATGTATGAGATGAACCAGCTGCATGTCTCAGGGTATGTGCTCAGGTTTACTCCAAACTAAAAACAAGAAAAGAGAAATATTTGGCGTTAGAATATAGAATACATTTCACATTTTTTTCAGCAAATCAGTTAATTCTTATGGTTAATTTGAACCAAGACAGAACCAGCGTCCTCCAATGTAAAATACATTCATTGTATTCATTCATTAATCGATAAATGAAATATTATGAGCCTTGAGCCCACATTTGAAGGAAGCCATGCAGGAAGCAGGGCTGTTTCCTCAGTGGATGCGTACACAGCCGGTCGGGGCCATCCTTTATCACCTCAGGGCAGACTGAGGCTACGAGCGTGAATCAAATGCAGTCACACCTTCTCAAACCCTGGCCCCGAGCCTTAACCAGAGCGTGGCCGACTGTGCACTAATGCAGAATTAGCACAGCATGACCACAATCTGACAGCTCGAGTGTTGGAGTAGAAATGATTAACAACAGTGTAAATAGAATCTTTCAAAAATAAATTCAATTGGCAAGTACATTTTCTAGGAATTGTTATAAAAATTCTAAAATGACATTCGTTGCCTTTGTCACATGTGTTTCGCCACAAAATTTTGTAAATTCTCAACCGGTAATAAGCATTACCTTTTGTTTAGTGAGATTGGCAGTGTATTGGCAGAGTGTTTTCTGTTTGCGAGAAAAACATAACCTAAATATGCAGGGTTTGTGTTAACGATGTGTGAATGAAATAGAATAATACAGACCCTTTAATAATTGGGTTGTCTTTAAAGTTCCATTTTTAGACACATTCAGAAGAACTACCCGCTTTGGAGTTTTTAAATAGAATACCAAAGCGTTTTATTGTTGTTTTGAAGAAATTATGGTACTTAATTTTCTTATTTACTTATTGCGATTATCTTGGAGTCTTATGTGACTTGAGGTTGGGTTTGTACATGACCACAACTGTCCAGTCAACCGTCCGAGCTACATCGAAGTATTGAACTGCACTGCTCTGCCTTCATTGTAAGGGACAGACTGCATAAATAATAAATGCTTTCTTCCCAATTATCTCCCCCACCTCAGCCACAGGGCGCTGGTTTCTTACCAACCAAAGACTACACCCCACCGAGACACTGGGATTAGCACACAAATTCCCCATAGAGACCGGCCTGGTGCAGGAAGAAGCACATTAACTCTCTATATAAGCTTAGACTATATAATATTACATTTAATTCAACTGTGTGTTTGAGCAGCAGGGAGGAAGCACAGAAGAAGAATTAGATGAAGTCGTATTAACAATTGATTCTTTTGAGCTTTTAAATCATGTTTGAATGTGTTATTACCTCATCAAAAATATGCTCAGAGTTGTGCTTTGTTTCATTCACACGTTTGAGTAATCCTTTATTATTAATCTGTCTACATCTCCAAGCGTTAAATGCACTTTTCCACCTTGTGATGTAATGAAGTGGTAGTTTTCATATAATTTATTCATAGTAAACAGATTGCAAAAGCCCAGTCGATGAATATGCACTTTAAAAACACACAGGAGCACTTTATGAAATGAAAACAAAACATTATTAGTCGGTCTACATCCTGTAAATTCAAAATGCTCTGTTCCAGCTTGTGATGTCATGAAGCGGGTGTTTTCATGTGAACGGCTCCTTTTGTTTAGAAGAGATTGCCAACTTCCAAGGGCTGAAATTATTCAAATGATTCTAGTGAAGGTGTGTGGAGTTTAAAAACACAGTGGAGCACTTCTACTTCCTGACATTGCAAGGCGGAAAAGAGTATTCTCTAAATATGCAGCGTTTGTGCTCTAAATGTGTGAATGAAACAAAACACAACTCCAGGTGAAATCATGATTATTCAAATGATTTTTTATTTTTTTTGTTAACACGATGCATTTATTCAGCATTTCTCTCTCTCTTAAAAAAAAAAAAAATAATAATTAATTAATTAATTAAAATATAATAATAATAGCACTTAATAATAATAGTAACACTTATCAATAAAACTTTGTTATTGATAATTTATGCAAAACTTTCAAATTAAAAATAAATACAGGCTACAAATATGGACTTTAGAGCAGTTTTTTGATGTATAAATACTTTGAACATGAAATAAGGCATAGAAAAACATAAATGTAAATCCAAAATAAACTATATATCCAGCTGTTCTACAATCTCTATGTTTAAAAAAATTTAATAAATATACTTATCTATATAAAAAATATCCCAAAATAAACTTTGCTAAGCTTTCGTTCCAACTCGATTATATGACTTTAGATATCATTTGACAAACGAAATGAAATCGCAATCAAAATTCGATTAACTGCACATCCTTACAGTGGAGCACTTCTACTTCCTGTGTGTTTTCTGTTTGAGAGAAGAACTCTAAATATGCAGCGTTTGTGCGATAATTGTGTGAATGAAACAAAACATATCCCCAGGTACGCTGTATGTGATGAGGAAACAACATTATAACAGATCAGACAACAGCGTAATTTGAGCTCTATGAACTGTGGTCCACTATTCAATATAATCTAACATTAAATAATTAACAAAACTTGACTAAAACACCACTGATTAAACAACTAAAAGTCTTCAGCTCAATTAGGAATGTATTCTAATCTATCATGATGCACCACTTTCACATTTAAGCCTATATGCTAAACTAACATGTGTTCAATGCTATTTATAAATAAATGATTACAAATATTAGTTTTAGTCTATAATTCTAGTCTATAAAATCTATGATTGAAGCACATTGATGCATCATTAGGCTATTTTACAGTTCGCAATTGCTCTTTTGTCGTTTAGTTAACAGTATAAATATGAGCCTTGAAATAAGACTTGCTCCACTGTTCATACGAGCTAAAAATGCTTCAGATTATGGCACTACTGTATTGAAAAAAAAATGGCAAAGACATCTTACAACATATAAATAATGAATACGCGAGGTTACACAAGAGAGTTTCTATGTAACGTCTTTGTGCATTAAAGAAAGAGTCTGTTAACTTTGGTGCTGTGTTTAGACTTATGGGTGGTAAAACTCAAACTTTTAGTACATGAATTATTACTTATTTGTAGTCTAAGTAAGCAGGATAGTGATATAATATAAAAGTACATATTTTCAGAAATCTTAATGCATCTAAAACATATTTCAGGTGTTTATAGGCTCTATTCACACTTACATCACAAACCAGGAAAACGTTTGGAAAGATGCAACGACAACTTCCGGTGTAGTTACGACACTGGGCTTGCCGACCGACTGTGATAAAACTCACCAAAGTAAAGGCGATTGGACTCGGTCTCGACTGTGTTTGAACTCGATCTTGTCTCGGTCTTGGAGGTGCTTGGACTCGGTCTTTTCTCGGTTTCGACAGTGTTTGGACTTGGTCTTTTCTCGGTTTCAACTGTGTTTGGACTCGGTCTTTTCTCGGTTTCGACTGTGTTTGGACTCGGTCTTGTGTCGGTTTCGACTGTGTTTGGACTTGGTCTTGTCTCGGTTTCGACAGTGTTTAGACTCAGTCATGTTTCGGTCTTGGAGGCGCTTGGACTCAGTTTTGTCTCGGTCTCGAGGTCTGACACTCGACAAGTGATAAAATGGTGATAGATTTATAAAAACATTGATATATATGTGACAAAATAACTGTAAAACACAAATAAATGTCTAAAATTACAAAGATGGTCTCGATTTGGTCTTGATGGGCTGTGGTCTTGGTCTCGTCTTGGTCTCGGCCTTTAAAAGTCTCGGTCTTGTCTTAGTCTCAACCCTTAGAAGTCTCAGTCTTGGGACAATCTGATCTGAGACAGGTCTTGGTCTCGATAAGTGCGGTTTTGACTACAACACTACTACACTCTTGAACTCAGCCTAAATATGCAGGACTAGTGTGTTAAACGTGTGTGAACGAAACAAAACACAACTCCAGGTCTGTTTATGATGAGGAAACATTATAACAAAGATCAGAACTTCCGGTATAGTTCCCGACACTGGACTCGCCGACTGACTGTGGTAAAACCCTAAAGTAAATGTGATCAGTGGTAAAATGAAGACTGCATACGTATGTTCAGTTTGGAATCATCTTGAATTTGGCGCCTCGTCTCTTCTAATCACATGTACCCAGTGCGCTCGGAGTTGTGCATCAGTGGGGAAATGATAAAACTGGGGTATGGTTGTAATTGTTGATTAGCAGAACATAAAGGAAGGATACAATGATATGCAGATGAAGAAAACTGAGTGATTTTCAAATTTTTCCTAGATTTTGTCAGACTTACTGCCATAAACAAAGCCCGCCAGAAGCTATCATCGCATGTTTCCAAACGTCTTCCTGGTTTGTGACATAAGCGTGAATAGAGTCTATTGGATTAAGTGTCTGAGCCCTCTGCTGGCAACAATGGGGACTAGGGGTGTGCAAAAATATCGAAATATTGATATGTCATGTTGTTTAATATGATGATACAGTATCGATATCGTGGGCTGCAGTAACGATATATCGCCAAGAGTATTTTTTGGTTTATTTTACTAAATGATTTAGTTACATTACACAACTTGTTTAACTGACATTTTCACTGTTTTGATGATTAAAATGTTTGTGTTTCTTATGAAGTGGATTAACAAAGACTTTTAGTATCACAGCGATGTTTATCCATTATTTTTATTGAACCGTATCGAATCGATTTGAAATGTATCGTATCATATCGAAAGTTCACTGTCTTAAGATATGTATCATATCTGCAACTTCATAATGATACCCAGCTCTAATGGAGACATTTTGTTATGATAAATTATCTGCATTGTCAGCGTCACAAAAAGGCAAATACTTCATAGCAAACAGATTGCAAAAGTCAAGTTGACGAATATGCACTGTAAAAACACACAGGAGCACTTTCTGAAATGAAAACAAAGCATTATTAGTCGGTCTGCATCCCTGAAGTTCAAAAAGCTCAGTTCCACCTTGTGATGTAAAGAAGAGGTAATTTTCAAGTTAATAACTCATTTTGTTCAGTAGAAATGGGCAATTCCAGGGCTGAAAAACTAGTGTCGAAGTACTCCAATCCTGCCTCGAGACCGTTTTTTAACAATCTTGGCCTAGTTCCGGACTCAACCGTGTTTGGACTCAGTATTGTCTTGCACTCGGTCTTGTCTCGGACTCGGCTATGTTTGGACTTGATCTTATCTCGCTCTTGGAGACGTTTGGACTCGATCTTGTCTTGGCCTCGGTCTGGAGGTCTGACACTCGACGAGTGATAAAATGAAGATAAATTTATAAAAACATTGATATATATGTGCCAAAATAATTGTAAAATACAAATAAATGTTGAAAATTACAAAGATGGTCTCGATTTGGTCTTGATGGGCCATGGTCTTGATCTTGTCTCGGTCTTGGCCTTTAAAAGTCTCGGTCTTGTCTTGGTCTCAACCCTCAGAAGTCTTGGTCTTGTTTCGGTCTCGGGACCCTGATTTCTCAGACAGGTCTTTGTCTCGATAAGTTTGATTTTGACTGCAACACTATGAAAAACATACAAAACAAGTGGAGTGCTTCCTGTATTACCTCATGACATCACAAGGTGGGACGGTGTTTTCTCTTGAACTCGGCATAAATATGCAGAGTTTGTGTGTTAAACATGTGTGAACGAAACAAAACACAACTCTGTTTGTGATGAGGAAACAACATTATAAGATCAGAAAATGTTGTAATATGGGCCCTTTAAACTCTTTATAGGCTCCCGTCCCGTCGCCCCGTGTCTCACCTCTTCCCGCGGGCTCTCCGGTTCTTCTCCGGGGACAGTGACGGTGCTGCTCTCGCTGGCCGTGGCTGCTGAGGCTGGGGACATTATCGCGGCTCCGTGTCGGACGAGGGGGGCTTTCCATAGACGCTCCGAGCTCCTTTTTACGCATCATCCGAGCGGACACGTCTGCATGGACCGGCTGCGAAAAATGCACATTATCCCGGACCGGTGCCTGCGCTGGACGTGGACGTGGATGGATGCTGCTACGGGAATCGGCGCATCGTAGCTACCGAAGCTCCCAAGACGCGCAGGAAAGCTGAGACAGTGGAGACGGGGGAGGTAGACAGACGCCTTCTATACGGTGATGCTGCTGACTTGGTTGCTGTGGCAGTAAAACCCAAAGGCGCCAGTCAGGAGCCGTAGATCTCCCGGATGGCCAGTGCGCGCAGCGAGAACAAACCCGCGGAACCGTGAAGCGGCAGTCGAGCGGGACAGATTGGACAAAAGGCGAGCACGTTATCGGCGCATGTAAATAAAACACACACGCGCGCGCGCACACGTCTCTCGTTGGAGCAAATCACGGGAGCGAGGTGGCACGAGAGGAGGCGGTGCTGCGCGTGACCCCTCCCCCGGAGTCGGTGGGCTCCTCCGGGAATCGGCACTGGCTTCGACCTTGCCTCCGGTGCAGATCATTTAATAATACGACGTGTAATCAAAGGGCTGAGCTCGGTATTGATTTCGAATGAATAAATAAATATAACGTGCAATGTGCGGCCCCCGCGCCAAAAGTGTTCGTCTGACTTCTAAAGACAGGCCATATGATATGAACTCTTCTAGTGATCTAATCAGGCTACTTTTATCTTAATTAGACCTAGAGTAGATAGTCTGATTCATCAGCCGGTTTCTACGAAGTGAAACCATCTGATCTCGCAGCATTAGAATTCGTTCCCTCGATGGTAGGCGGGTTCTTTTTTTCATTTAACCAATCGCTGCTATTTGGTCGTGATGTATGTAATGCGCAGCTAACAGGGCTAATTGGTATATAAAGCTTTTCCCAAATCCTGTAGGAAGAAGGGTAATGACGTATTTCCCCTTGATGAAATTCACCAAACACTAAACAGCTTTAAATCCTCGATTTCGGGAATCGATGACAACACTGAATGACTCTTGCTGATTAAATACTCTAAGAGCCATTTGGATCGTCTCCCACAGAAAAGAAAACTCCCGGAGCCAAAAAACCCTGCACTGCATATATTTTTATTTTTACCTGTATGATATGTACTAATGACTATAGTGTGTTGCTTTTATGAAATCAATTAAATGCTACAGAGAACACGGAATTTTATTTCTGCTTGTAAAAAACATTTTAACTCAGAAAAAAGACACTTGGTTGATGCTTACTTTCAAATGAAATACTCAATGCTTATTTGAGTTCTCCTCGTAGAAATAAAAATCCAAACTTAAATGATCCACCCACAGTGAACCAAAAAAACCTGTCTGCTTCTGTGTTTTATCAGTCTTATCAGCTGTGAAAGCAAATTAATCTTTTCTTGGATTTATTCATCATTTACCTACCAGGGGTCGAAAAGCTCAATAAATTGTGCTGCTGGTGTAGGTGCTGGTAAGTCCGGGCTGCCACATCTGTGCCGGCTGTGACGCATATTTTGAGCAACAAAAATATTTAAAACATTGCATTTTAATGTTACAAGATTACCATTATCTACAAATTTAGAATCACATTTAAAAATGAACAAACTCAAATAGCTTGCTTGAGGATACATTGCATAGCCTAGAGAAACTTTCTTATTACAATTTAGACTAAATGAAAAAGCAGTTTTTTTGTCATTTCCATCTGGCTGTGGTATTCACTGTCCCAGCTGTAGTGGTCTTTTATTTCTAGTCCCAGAAGGGTTCATGAATTGCTCCATTGAGAAACAGGCTGCTTGACAATGTAATTAAAGCCACACTATGTTACTTTTCAGCCAAGTAAATAAATACATAAAAGTGTTTGTGTTTTCTTTTTTTTTTTTCCATTTTGGTTGTGTATTCTGCACTAAAAAAGAATAAAATGTGTCCTTTCTCTGAGCTCTGAGGAGTTTGTTTCCCAGGAAATATTGTTCTTTTGGCTATAATCTTCTAACCTTGTACAGTAAGATGGATTCTCGTGATATTTGTGACTTCACAAACTCACGATAATCCATCTTGGAATGCGCCCACTGTTCGCTTAATTGGGCGAGCGATCAATCACGTCGCAGAATTGAGATTTGTGCTGAAGCCAAAAGCGAAGTAGCCTGATTCATCAGCCGGTTTCACTTTGTGGAAACCGTCTGGCCTCGCAGCGTTAGAATTTGTTCACTTGAAGGTGAGTGGGTACTTTTTTTATTTAACCAATCACTGCTGTTTGGTCGTGACATATGTAATGCGCGAAATCCCATAGGAAGAAGGGCCATAAAGTCTTTCCCCTTGATAAAATTCACTTAGTTCCGGCTTTAAATCCTCAAGCTCAGGAATCATTGCCAACACAGAAAGTATGTCTTCGTCTACATCCATCTCGACCGCTTTGTTTACTGTTGTGCTGTACCACAAAACGGACCCAGACAGGTGCTCAAATTTGACGTCATGACTCCACAGTTCTTCACTGATTGGCCGGTGCAAGGTCTGTAATGTCCGGGGTTCTTGCAAACCGTCTAGTGTATTCTGATTCCTAACGTAGTCGCTGGAGAGAAATGAAATTAATAAAATAAAAGCAAAGAGCTCAAGTGAACCAAAACAAACATGGCAACACCAAGAGACATACTTCAACCTATTTAAGCGTCAATACAGACAATTTTGTTTGTGAAGAATGCGCAGAGGGTACGAGCTTTGCGGACGGGGAAAATGTCTGTACTTTTCTCTCAACCGGATTTAACTAAAGTTTGATTTTTCTGCTTGTTGTAACACTTCAGCCAATCAGATTCAAACAGTCGCCATGACGCTCTGCATTTCCCGATCTCTTTCAGTAAGAGCCATCCCAGCTTGATAATGCGCAGAGTTAATTTCAGAGTGACACACATATCAGTCTGGTGTGAGTCAGGTTAATAATCTTCCACAGGGTGCTATAAAACTTATCTATGTCCATGGAGAATGAAACTGATGTAACTTTCTGGGAAATCATGCAGGTGAAAATGACATACTGTACATTTATATTTTATGTTGAAATGTGTTATTCATTGTAAACCGATAGTCTAAACCTACATTTTTCCATAACTCATGTCCCACCCAATGATTACAGCTATTTTTTTGGATGTAAATAATTTAAGTGTTGCATATAATTATAATCTAGAATTTAAGTTACACATTACATAACTGTATATGAAATACTAACCAAAACAAGCCAACCAAACATTAACTCCACACGCCACTTGGATGAGCGGCGAAAGGTCTTCACTTTAAAACGGGGATAATCAAACTAAGGCCTGCGGGCCAACTCCGGCCCTCCACACCCCTTTGACCGGCCCCCCATCACTTGAACTGGCCCTATGAGGCAATCCTCAAAAGTTGTCATAGACTTAAACGTGTCTGAATCTTGTATTATGTTGATTTTGTAATTAAAAAACATTATATTTATATAATTCCCTGGGGCCTCCTCTGGGCATGTCCCGCCGGGAGGAGGCCCCGGGGAAGACCCAGGACACGCTGGAGGGACTATGTCTCTCGGCTGGCCTGGGAACGCCTTGGGGTCCCCCCGGAGGAGCTGAAGGACATGTCTGGGGTGAAGGAAGTCTGGGAGTCCCTGCTTAGGCTGCTCCCCCCGCGACCCGGCCCCGGATAAGCGGACGAAAATGGATGGATGGATGGATGGATATATTTATATGAAGTATTTATATTTATATTTTAATTATGATAAGACGTATTTACATTTGCCCCGCAGATGGTTCAGAAATTGCCGAAATTGCCTATTCCGTGTAACCTCAAATGACCTCGGATCATCACCAAACTTTTTTTTGCAGCATCGGGCTTGACTCACTTACCAAATTTGGCAACAATCGGTCCATAAATGGTGGAAGTATCGCAGGTAGACCGACACACAGACACACAGACACACAGACACAGACACACAGACACACAGAGTGAATACAAAACCTGGTCAACCCTTCGGAGACCAAGTAATGATAATGTGGTCCCCAGAGAAAAAAGTGTGGTGACTCCTACTCTAAAAGTTTTGTCCAGTTGACAGAATACATTTTTTTCTTTTGTTTTCCTGAACAGCTTTAGAATGATCTTGAGCTGTATCAGAATAAATACAAGAGCACAAAGACTATCAGACGCCCATGGACCATTGTGGAACCTACCTGGACCACTGAGGGATTACACAAATATAAGACCACATGGGAATATAAAAGAAAGGACTATCATTTAATGTTAAAAATAACATTCTATCATCTAAAGAAAGAGTTTTGTTTTTTTTACAAATCAGTATTGAATATCAAGTCTATTCCTCAGTATCGATATTGAACTTTAAATTTTAGTACCGTGACAGCACTGTGCATAGAGGATGTTAAATTAAATAAACCACGTGGCTGTTACTCTGCTGTTTCAATCAGTGTAACCATGGTAACCAAATCATATACTTGTTTGTGCCACATGGGGGCATCATCACGGTATATTGGACTGTTTTTATTAGACAGCTGCTCCAAACCTTTTTACTGCACCTTTTGTCCATATTTATAACTTTTAATATGCTTCACAACATGTTTGTGTGTAAATGGCAGATTCCAAAATAGAAAATAAAGGTCCTATATTACACAAAGTGGATTCTTGTGAGATTTTAGCCGTGTTATAATGTTGTTACATCCTCAAAAACATACCTGCACTGGAAAAAAACAATATCTAAGTAAGTTAAAATTACTTAAATTAAGAATATTTTACTTTATTTGAGTAGATTCAACTTGACAAGTAAAATGATACAGACTTAATTTGAGGAACATTCGATTTTGTTTCTTATTTTAAGTGCAAGAAGTTGTTGTTTTTCTTATTTTAAGTGTAGATGTATTTAAGATGTATTTTTATATTTTAAGTACCACAAATCTTGGTCCACTGGCAGATCATTTTGATGGTCAAGTGAAATTTACTCAGATCATGATAAAACTTTCTTAATTCAAAGTCCATTTGAAAAATATGCTCTTTAAAAACACACAGGAGCACTTTCTGAAATGAAAGCAAAGCATTATTAGTCAGTGTACAGCCCTGAAGTTCAAAATGCTCAGTTCCACCTTGTGATTTCAAGAAGAGGTAGTTTTTAAGTTAACAGCTCCGTTTGTTCAGTAGAAATTGACAATTCCAGGGCTGAAAAACTAGTGTCATAGTTCCGGCCTCAAGACCTTTTTTTACGGTCTTGGTCTAGTCTCGGTCTCGCTTTGTTGGTGCTCCACATACAAAATGTTCACTGCAAACTCGGGATGATTTCTTAGGCAGCCAAAGGTTACGTTTTTGGTCCTTCCTGTGGATCAATCCTGCCCATCGCCTTCGCCTTTCACTATTTTTCAATTCTTTTGGGAAGGGAAACAGTT